AAGCATGGTAGAATCTTTCGTATTGCAGCGCTTGTGTTCAGACGTAAGCGCTGCGGAAGCATTGGGGCCGGTTTGCTTTTTTTTTGTTCTGGGGGAGTCTTGGAGGCAGCTTGGCGGCCTCTAGAAGGCGTCTTGGATGCATGTTTTGAGATTACTGGGGGCCTTTAGGGGGCTTCAGGGAGCCTTTTCGGGGCCAGTTGGAAACGTCTTGGGGCCTCTTCAGGCCTCTTGGGGGCCGCTGGGGGCCTGCTGGGGGCTTCTCGGGCCGTCTTCGGCACTTCTTCCGCCGTTTTGGCGCCTTGTCAGGCGCCTCTTGGTCCCGCCCTGCGGCCCTCTTAGGCATTTTTGGGGGCCTCCTGGGCCATGGGCCCTTCTTGGGCCGTCTTGGAGCCCTCTTGGCGGCTTCTTGGGCCGTTTTGGAGTTCTCTTGGGGCGTCTGCGACGTTCCGAAGGCCCAAGAGGCGAATACGCAAACATCAGACATTTCCTATAGGAAATTGTGCACTTGTTGCTTTTTGGCATTCTTTGAGAGGCCTTGTCAAGGCTTCTGAGGGCATCTTGGAGGCTTCTGGAACCGTCTTGGGGATATCTTAGGCGTCTTGAAGCGATTTTTCGGGGACTCGGGGCCCTTTTGGCCCATCTTGGGGCCCTCCTGGGCGAGGGGGCCGTCCTGGAGTGAGCTGGAGCTCCGATTCCGCCCGGGGAATTAAATCTGACCACACACACACCCTTCCCTATCCCAGCAAAGCCACCCTGGCACCCACCCCCCAGTAGAGCTGAAGCTCAGGAATTGAGGTTCAGGCTGTTCTGAGGGCCTTTGAAACTAACACGCCGGATCGGCGGATTTGTAGGAGACAGTGCTCAGGACACCCTTCCCGGCCACATGCCGTCTCGTTCACTCTCACCCGCTCTCCCGACACATATGTAGCACCGGAGCCGCAGCATGTTCAGCGGTCGTCTTCGGATGAACGGCTAATCGGAACCAGAACATACCCCATGTGCGCAACGTTGGGGCCAGGTGCGCCAGGCACCCTTTTTGCCCAAGCATGCCAGGCACGTCATGTGCGCCAGATTCGCAACGTGATCCACGTGCGCCATGTGTGCCGCATGCTCCAGACGCGCCATGTGCGCCACGTTCAGGGCACGCGCAGAGTGTGCCAGGTGCGCCTGCGCACGAGGCAGTGCACATCGGGAAACGTGTCGGTCCCCACCACCATTGTCGAAAACCAGTGCTCAGTCGCGGCGGGGTGGCCATCATCGTGTCTGGTGGGCCTGCACACAGAAGGCCATGTGCCAGCACCCCCGCCGTCCCAGTCAAAAACCAATGCACGGTGATCGCGAGGCGCTCGCGCGTGATCCAGAGTTTGCCCCGAAGTTGTGTTTTTTCCTCGTCTTGTTTTTCATAGGGACGCTGGCCCTAGGCGCCGTCCCTGTGAAAAAAGAAATGCAAAGTGCTCGCGGTCCCCCCGACCAGGACCCAACATTTTGCCCCAAAATGGACGTCACATTGTTTTTTTGACAGGGATGGTGGCGGGGGGGACCTCGCTAGTCCTGGCTGGTTTCCGGTCGCCTGGGGGAGAGGGTGTTCATCAATAGTGAACACTGATAGACCCCTTCCCGAAGGGGGGAAGAAGGGGGGGTTGGAGGAAGAAGCGCCCTAAACCACTCAGGGCTGGTAGGATCTCGGCGCGCCGCTCACACGTTTCGTGGCCCCACAGAGAGCTCCACCTACGGCCCCAGTGTCATGTTCCGCATGGCGGCGCCGCCAATTTCGGTGCGCTTTTTCCAGGAGCGTGGCCCCATACGGAGCTCCACCTGCGGCTCCAGTGGGAGGGCCCGCGTGGCGGCGCCGCTCATTTCGGCACACCTCTCACGAAGACAACTTCTGGCCACAGTGGGGAAGTTTGTATGCGTACTTCCGTTCGTTTCAGCACACTCCTCACACGATCCCCACCCACGCCATTGTCGGAAGGGTAGCGTGTTTATTCTTGCCCTCACACGCTGTGTGCCCTTAAAAACCTCCATACACGGCCCCAGTGGGACTGGCGGGCGAAGAACAGCACGTTGAATATACACTATTCCGCGATCGGGCCGGCTGCCTCGGGGTGCCTGGGAAGTTCATATTCCCATTTGCCACCGTCGGGATGTTATACACTTCCCGGTCGCCCGGTGCAGGCTCCCCCGATGGAGGAAAAGTGTATGTCGCACCGCCCTTCGCCCACTAAGAGGAGGGAGGAGGCAGAGGCAGAGGAGGAGGAACAGGTACCCATACCGCTGCCCTCGCCTCGTTTTTGCCCCTTTGGGCTTCCTGGGAGGCCCTCGTTGCCACCGCTGGAGTTGCCTCGAAATGATAGCCAGAACGCACCCCTTGAGGCGGAGGAGGAGGAGGAGGAGGAGGAGGAGGAGCCAGAGGCGGAGGAGGAACCAGAGGCGGAGGGAGACCAGAGGCGGAGGAGGAGGAACCAGAAGGAGCGGCAGCAGCTTTCATGGAGGGCCAGGCCCACGCTCGTCGTGGCGAGCGGAGCCGTTCGCTGCATGAGCCTGGCCGCATCACCCCACACGAGCTTTGCGGATGAGCCGCTCGCGTGGTGCGGCATGGGGCGCCAGATGATCTTTTGGCTTAATAACTGTTCCAGTGACCGTTCTCTCCTGTCCCAATCTGCCCGTCCTCCGAGGATGGGAAGGTGAGGGGAAGGGCGAGGAGGAGGGAGGGGCGGAGAAAGAGGAGGGGGAGGGTCATCAGCAGGGGGGCGGTGGGGTGAGAAATGGGGGCGAGCTGGGCGAGAATGGGGGGGAAGGGCGGGAGTGGCAAGAGGAGGGGGAGCAGGAGGAGGAGGAGGTGGTGGAAGAGAAGGAGGAGGAAGAACAGGAGGAGGAGGGGGGGAGGAGGAGGGGCAGGTGGAGGTGGAGGGAGGAGGAGGAGGAACGAGAGGAGAAGGGTGAGGTGGAGGAGGAAGACGGCACGGAGAGGTTTCCTGAGGGAGGAGGAGAGAGGAGGAGGAGGAGGCCCAGAGGAGGAGGAGGGAGGAGGAGGAGGAGGAGGAGGGAGGGAGGAGGAGGAGGAGGCCCAGAGGAGGAGGAGGAGGAGGAGGCCCAGAGAGGAGGAGGAGGAGGAGGAGAGGAGGAGGAGGAGGAGGAGAGGAGGAGGGAGGAGGAGGAGGAGGAGGAGGGAGGTGGGGGAGATTTGCTTTCTGGTCGGACCTGTGCGCCGCGCTGGGATGCTCTGGCAGCCGACTCTGGCGGTCGACGGCGGTCGTCTTCCTTCCAGCCCCTACCGACTGGAAGGAAGACGAAGCACAGGCTGCTCAGCGTCTGTATGTTTTGGTGGACCCATTTCCCTCGACCACTAACTACCATAGGCAGGAGAGGGAGGAGGAGGAGGAGGAGGAGGAGGAGGAGGAGGAGGAGGAGGAGGAGGACCTCCTCATCCTCCCTCCTCCCCCGTCCTACACATGGTAGTGGTGGTTGAAAATTCGCCCACCATGTTTCGCCGATCGGCGCGAGCCTCTGGCTCCCTCCCCGCCCCCCTCATGGGCCAGCTCCTGGCTGCCCCTGGCGGCTGCTCTGGGCACAAGTAGATCGACGAAGCCCAGACCCAGACCCACACCCTCCCCCACCCCTCGGCCAGATGCCGAAACTCAGAGTAGAAGAACGCTCACAGACCTTGGTGAACAGCCACTTCCGGAGGCTAATCGGGAGTGCGGGTTCTATGTTTGTCTCCCGTGCCATATTTGTCGGCTGTGTCGAGCTCTGTGTTGAGGAGCTCGTCTATTCTGAAACCTCTGAATGGAGCGTGTTTTTTGCTGAGCTGCTGGATGACCCCCTCATTACTCTGCGACTCCATGCCTTTGCCGCGTTCGATTCGACGCTTGACTATGTAGGGCTCTACTGAATTGATGGCGTCAGCGTTGGGCTTGGTCGTCCCCGCGTGCACGCCGAGGGACTCTCGGGCTCCTCCATGTTGCTGGCGATGCGGCCGTCGACGAACTCGGAGGCGATCCGTTGTTTGAAGGTTGCGCGTGGGTCAACGAGCTCGTCGGATGACGGATTGTTTTCGATCTCGATGTTGGCGCGGGGATTGTAGTTTACCTCCTGCGTCTGGCTGTTGATCTGGATGGAATTGTCGGCACAAGAAAGGTGACCTCGTGATGAGGGTAGCCCTGGACGTCCGTGGCGACGGTGTGCATCGGCTTGATACCTAAGACGTCAACTCGAATGCCGATGAGCATGGTCTTCAGGTTGTTGAAATGTGGCAGATATTGGCCCAGGGAGCTCTCATTTGACGCGGCCTCCGCGTGCATATCGTTATCCTCGGTACCACTGAGCTGCGTGTATTCTCGGCACGGCGATTGCCGCGAGTTATTGTCCGGTGCTGCCGCCACCTGGCCCAGAAATTGTGATGAACGCAAGGTGTTGATATGGCAGTTCCAGGGGATGTCTAATTGCATCGGGTGCTTCTTGGGATTGGCGTCCGACGTGCTCTTGAACAACACCCTCGCCGCCGAGCTGAGGCGACAGGTATGGGCTAAACGCTCGCTAACGAGACGAAGGACCTCGCTGTGCAGGGCTGCGATACGAGATTCGGCTATCGCTGGAGGCGAACGGGACATGTTTGGGCCCTATTCCTAGGCTCACCGAGCCAGACCGGCGCGCAGTTTCGGGCAGCTCCTTGAGCCACATGTCTACGGGGAGGGGGGAATAGGGAATGGGAAGGAGGATAGATGGGAAGGAGGAGCAACAGGGATGAAGACAGGGGGATGGAGGAAGAGGATAATAATGACAGAAAGGAGGAGGAGTAGGAGGAGGAGGAGGAGGAGGAGCAGAGGAAGGAGGAGGAGGAGGAGGAGGAGAAGTGCGGATGAGGTGCAGGGGCACGAATCAGGAAATTTTCGAAGCCGAGATTTTTGACAGTTTGGTCTGCTCTTCCAATCCTGCTCCTTTTCGTCTGCTTCTGCGACGCGTCTTGGCGAACCATACACGTGGCTGCACGTGGACCCGCGATGCCGGGTCGGCAACATGCAAGGTTGCAGCCGATGCAGCTGCTCCTTTTTCCCGATATGCGCGGAGATTTCGGGGCGGTCAAGACAGGAGGGCAAAGCCGGACGGGGCTAGGACTAGGATAAATCTGTTCCAGAGCGTTCCAGGACGCTCCCAAAGCTTTCTAGAACGTTCTGAGAAGGCCGCGGCGCCCGAGACATCCTCCGGAACCGCCTGATCGCAGATATTCTCGATTTATCTTCACCCGATGTTATCTTCGTCCTGGCTTCGTCTTGCGAATGGTGGATCGGACGGGGCTCAAGTCAGGCACGGGGATGGATCGGACAGGGGGAGTCGGACGAGTTCGGGGCGTGAGGGAGGGCTGCATCGGACCAGGGACGAGGGATGGAAGGGTGACTGAGGGGCCAGTCCTCTCTCCTCCTCCGCCTCCTCCTCGTCTCTGGGCTCAGGCCGCAGGGAGAGCGGGCAGGAGGCGGCGGAGGAGGAGCTCTGGTCTCCAGCACGGTCGAATCGCTGGGGGGAGGGGCAGAAGAGGGGTAGGAGGAGGCCGAGGGGGGAGGAGGACGACTGCCAGGGGTAGGGGGGCGGACGGAGGGGGAGGAGGGGAGGTTGGTCTCTGCCACCCGCGCGGGCGGGTGGTTGCTGGCGGTTGCAAGGGCCAAGAGGGCTCTCGAGCGTCGGGCCTGTAGGCCCGAGGCAAGACCTGGAGGCTGACGCCGCACGCCGATAAGATACCTCCATGGTCGCCCCCACCTCCCACGCGAGGACGAGGAGGGAAGACAGGAGGAGGACGCGAGGCGAAGGAGGAGAAGGAGGAGGAGGAGGAGGAAGGAGGAGAGAGGCGTCGCGTCGTTCGGTCGTTTCCTTCACCTCTCTCCTGCTTCCTGTGTTTTCTCGACCTCCACCTGCGCGGGCTCGGAGCTCACCTTCGCGAGTGCAGGGGGCGCGGCTTGGGAGTCTCGTCTCGCCTCGCCCGTGTCTCCTCTCTTCATTCCCATCTCGCTCCCCTTCGCCCTCCCCATCACGCCTTCACCTCTCCTGATCCCCGCTGCTGCCGCTCACGCTCCCCCATATCCCTTTTTTCCTTCCCGCTCCCTGGAGCTCGTGCCGCGCCCGGCCAACGTCGGGCGCGAGCGACTGGTGATCTGAGCGTTCAGATGAGCGCCGCACAGAGCGACTGGGCGAGTCATGCCAACCTCGCCCGCTTCCAATCGACGCCAGGCGGCGGGCTGCACCTCCTTCGTCGGATTGCGCGGCCCCGGACATTTCTCCTGAACGAGGCTCCCAGGCACAAAGCACAAGACAGAGGGCCCGCGCGCGATGCGACGCGCGAGCAGTGCCCGCTCGCGCGGCGCTGCGCCACCCCTCCGCCGCGGTCCCCCGTGGATGCGGCGCAGAGCGCCTCCCCTTTCGAAAGGGCGGGGGGCGCGCGGTGGAGAAGGCCGGGGAGGAAATCCCTCGAAGAAGAAAAAACAGTGGCGCTTCCAGCGCCGCCCCTGGCGCGCTCCGCGCGCCAGGGAGAGGGTCCAGCACAGATCCAAGAAATCCGCGCGGAGCGCTATGCAGTTTTTCTTCTTCGAATGCTTTCTTAAGCGTAGGCGAGGCAAGTGCTGGTGGGAGGGGGCGAGGGGGGGGAGCGTGACCCGGGCGGCACCAGCGCGCACCTCGGCATCCTTTCCCGCAGTCTTGACGAGGGGCCTGGCTGCGTGCGGGCGCTGTCGGGCAGATCCCAACGTTCTCAGGAGCGAAAGAAGGACGTACACGTACATGAATCCACGTTGGTTTCGAGAGTACGCATTGCATGAATTTTGGTATCCCGCGGTTGGTCTCGCGGACTCGGGGAGGCCGTGTTCATGTACGTGGTTGGGCGCGTACGCCTTTTTGTGGGATCCCCAACTTACCAATCCTGCTTCCAAGATGGTCCAAGAGGCAATGGAGGCGCACGTCCCAGCCCGCTGACGAGGTGGAGGTTGGGAGTGCCAGAGGTGCGGCAAGCGATCTGTCGCAGCCCAGGCGCTCTTGGACGAGCGTTGCGCCGGTCACGCGGCGGCGCAGCTCCCTCTGCAGCTGGCCACCGCACGGGTCACCTGTGGCGTACTGCGGAGATGGTCTGGTGCCGTAGGTGCGGGCGCCACGTAGTGCGCCGCCTGGCAAAGCTGCGGGAAGAGTGCCCTGGCCGACCGACGCAGCAATGGCAGCTCGCCAACCTGAAAGCAGGGCGCGTCCCCAAGGCCCGCACGACCGACCCGCCCATAGGCCGGCCCGCCCCCCTGATGGAGGCCGAGTGGGACGCGTGGGGCTCGCGGGACCCTGCGCCAGCGGCGGCGGCAGGGCGCAGCAGCTGAGTGAGGGCATTCGCGCGTGGGGCGCGCGGCCTGCCCGTGCGCGCTGGACGAGGGGCGGCCTAGCGCCTAACCAGTTGTACAGTCTAGCGCGGTTGCACGGCGACGGCTAGGCGTCAAACTTCGTGAGTCGCCATTTCGATTTTGTTATCGTTATCCTCTGGCGCGTAACGGCCGCTGCTGCCTCCCCCCCACACCCCATGGGAAACGGTAACGATAGTACGTAGAGGGGGGGGCGCTGGACCCCTCCACGCATGCTGGCGTTCGCGTGCAAACTGCGGCGATCGCAGCGCACCCCTGCCCCGACGTGCCCCACCCCGCCCAAGCGTTACTCTTAACCGCCCCTTCCCCCGGGTAACAATGCTTGCCAGAAATATGTCTTAGCCATTATTTCTGAGTGGTCACTGACTCATTATTGCCACGTTAGTCCTCTCTCTCTATCTATCTATCTATCTATATATCTATCTATCTATCTATATATCTATCTATCTATCTATCTATCTATCTATCTATCTATCTATCTATCTATCTATCTATATATCCTTCTCAGCGGTGTCGTTGCCTCTCTCGCGCATTGCGTGTACGCAGGATTGGTGTTTGGTTTGGGGGTGTTGGTTTTGTTGCTGACTTGTCGATTGGAACGTTCCGTGTCCTTCAAGCCGTTGCACCCCCTTGTTTCTCTTCCTGCTCCGCTTTCCGTTGATCCTCTTGCTGGTCCCTGGTCCTCTTGATCTTGCTCCTGTTTCCTCCTTCCTCATCATGCTCGGGCGCCTCCTCCTCCTCCTTCTCCTCCTCTTGACTCCAGTTTCCCAGCATTTTCCAATAGTTGCAAATCCCCCTCCCAGATTGCGCATCACAGGATTGGCTGAATTTCGCGGACAGGGTCTTTTAGGACACCCCAGTCGGCCGATAGAACAGGATTCAGCGCAAATGGGAAGGCATGCGCAGGATAAGGGTACGCTGTCACGTATGGCGAGATTGCACCTAGCTTGCTTGATCCTCCTCTCCCCACTCCCCTTCCCTTACCTTTCTTCCTCTTCCCCCTTCTCCCCTCCCCCATCTTCCCGCTCACGACCCGTCTCTCGCTATCCGTGTTCCTTCCCTGTTCCTACTTCCCGTCTTCGCTATTCCTCCCTATCCTTCCCCCTCTTGTTCCCCTTCCCTCTTCTTTATCCTGTGGAGCGGGGGGAATGGTGATATCTAGCGCTGCGCCCTAGGCATACTTGGCTCAGAGGGGCGTTTGTGCCTCTGCATCTGCTCTCACTGCTTGCTTCTCCGTCGCGTAAAGACGGTCGAGAAAGAGGTTGCCCCGGGAGAGCGCAGGGGTAGATCCCCCCTCCGCCTTCTCCGTTCGAGTTCCCCGTCGTTTCCGTTCTCCCCAGAGTGATTTGCATGGCATGGTGCCGATGTGCAGTGACACGTTGGACTTGCAGCATCTCGCTTTCTGCTCTAACAGTCAAACCATCGCGCGCGACGCTGTTTGGAAAGCAATGCGGGCTACGCACGTGTCTCCGAGTTTCTTGGGTTGCCTTGATGATTACTAACGCCAACGTTCGCTGTACTCCAATGTTCGAAAATGCTCGGCGTAGCAGGGCTCCTCCACGAGAGGCACCAAAACGGAAGTGTTTCGAGGCAGGCCAGTGTTTGTGTTCCACGCGGGGGAAGAGATTGCAACAGCTTGGGAGTACAATACCAGTTATTTGAAGTACATCGCTCCGGGGAAGTCACCCGAACGGGACAGTTTGGTTCAATGATTCTTCGTGATTTGCATGCGAGGCGAACCTGATCAACCGTTATTTCATGATTCAGACGGCGGCAGTGGCAACGAGTGCATTGAAACTAGTTGTGGAGTCCATCATGTTTCTTCCAGCTCCTTCCATATATCACGATGCTACAAATCATGACATGCCCATCTTGTTAGAGGCCGCCACAAGGGGAAATAATCCAAATTCAATATCGAGTTCGTCCATCAGCACTAATATCTCAACACAGCCACATAAAACTGACCACTGCTGATCCCCCACTACCACTGCTTAATGTGGTTGCACTGTCCCCGTCTAGACTCATCTCTCCAGTGTCTATTTCTCCCGCCCGCCTCGGAGCCTCTTGGGCCGTCCTGGCGGGCTTCAGTCGGCGTGGGGCCCTCCTGGGGCCTCTTTGGGGCCTCCGATTGGTGCCGTTGGGCCTTCCTGGGGGCCTCTCGCCCTCTTCAAGCCCTCTTCGGGCTCTCTGTGGCCGCCCTCGTTGACTCGAAGGTGTGCATGTGAAGCAGCGGTGCGCCTAAAAGTAGGATGTTATGCATACGCCAAGGCGCCAGCGTAGAGTGTGGAACACTCTGACGTATCCCTTCCTTGTCTGCCCTCTTCCCCCTCCGTCGCCCTCATCACATCATCACGCCGTGTGTCCCTTTGAGGCGCGTGGTGTACGTTTCCCCAGCCCTGGCCCCGGCCTTGACCCTGACCCTGGCCCCGGGAAAAAATTACGGCTCCCCTCCCTCCCATCCCCCCTTCTCCACGGCAGAGCCCCCGCGGCCTCTCCCCAGCAAAGCTAAAGCTCAGGCTGTAGATTGCTCAAATCCGCACGCCAGATCAGCGGCTTTGAACACACCCTTGGAAGACCGACATCCCGCTGGAGCAGATCGTCTTGGACCGAACACTTAGGCGCGCAGGTTCCAGATGTTTTGGCAGCAGGCCTGCCCATGTTTTTGAGCAATCTGATGGTTGTTTTGCCAACGGTTTCGCGCCGATAGCTCGCGCAGGTTTCCGCGCAATTTGCGGATGGCCCTTGATGGACAGAAACATTCGTCCGTCCCCCCCTCCTCCCTGCTTGCCCTGCTCAAGTCTGACTTTGTATCTTTCTCCTACCGGTCGGCTGCTGCTCCAGCTCTCCGCTTGTCCAAGCCAGAGCGCTCAACTTCCTGACGCGCGCGTGACAGCATGCGGCCGCAGCCTCGAAGCTCAAGCCTGCGCTGGCGCGAACCGCTCTCCTGGCTGGCCCGCGGAGCACCGGCACCTGCCGCGATGGCGCTGAGCGCGATCGCCGGAAGGATGCCGCCGTGCTTCTACGGGGTGGCGGCGGCGCTGAAGCGGCGGGTTCTGCCCCTGGAGTCTGGCACGGCTGCCACGCCGCCCACCCTGCTGGTCGCGCGGCGCGGGGAGGCGTCGTCAGGCGATCCGCCGAAAGAGGATCTGGTCGGACGAAAGTGGGGGGGGGGAGGGGGGGGGAAAGGGGAGGATCGCGAAAGCTGCTGCATCTCGGCGGCAAGCCCACGGGGGAAGTCCAAGGGGGCGGGCCTTCTCAGAAGGCTCGGAAGGCATCCGGCCTGCTTCGGAGAAGTTGTCTGAGCCTTCCCCGGAAGGCACCGACAGCTTTACAGCATGCGCGAGGGCTTGCGCCGCCGAGCATGGCGGCTGGCTTCTGCCTTTCCGCCGCCTGGCGCTCTGCTCGACGCATGGGTGCCTGTAGGCGCCAGGGAAGCCGGCTGCATGGGGTGCGCTGCGAAGCCTCCCCGCGTTGGCACGAGCCCGAGAGGAGCGGGCGGCCGCCTCGCCCTCGCCGTCGCCCCGCCTCCGGAGCCCCACGACCCCGCACGTCTGGGAGGAGCACGTCAGCGACGAGGCGGGAGGGCGCCCAGCTGCGCACCAGCACTGGTCCTGGCCAGGTCGAGCCGGAGCCCAGCGGCGGCGTGCGTGCACGCCTTCCTGGCCAACCCAGGCGGCCGCACAGAGCGAGTGTGTGGGCCCAGGCTGGTGCGCAGACACACATCTGGGCCCAGGATGGGCCCGGCCAGGATCGGCGCGCAGGTGGCGCTGCAGTTTCGCCACTGTGGTTGATGGCACACACAGGACAAGGATCGGTGTGCAGGTGCATGCGTGGCGCCCTCCCGCGAGGTGGTCCAGATCTGCAGGAGGATCAGCCCCGACAGGCGTGCCGCAGTGTCGGCCCACGAGCTGATGGCCGCGGTGCGCCGGGACAGGGCCCTGGCCTGTCTGCTGTTCCCCGCCCCGGAGGTGCGGGGCATCCTCGCCAGCGAGGAGCGGGCGGCGGACGCGGTGGACGCCGTGTTCCGAGAGGTCGCCGAGGGCGGGCACCGCGCCCGCATGTCCGACCTCGCGGCCTACCTGGACAGCCAGCGCTACCTGCGGCTCTGCGAGCAGCAGGATCGACGACCCTCTGGACGTGTGTGAGCCCACTGTGTCTTTACCCCGCTCAGCTCCGCCGATGGCACGCAGCCCGTGTCGGCCCTCACTTCGGCGCCTGCGTCGTATCGAATGGCGTCAGTGGGTCGGCACACGTCGGCGCTGACACACGTTCTGAGGATCATCGACAGGAGCAGTGCCCTGGAGCCGAGGCGCGCAGGGTCTTCGGCCTGATCGACGCGGACCGCAGCGGGTCCATCTCGAAGCTGGAGCTGTTCGACGCGGTCCGCCGCAGGCCAGAAGTCGCCGCTTTCGTGCTCCCGGGCGCGAGCGACCAGGATGGTCAGATTTCGGGCTGCGAGCCTTCTCTCCCCCAGGTAACTAGCCCTGGCTGGTCCCAACAGGCCCCCCAAGTAGTCCGAGGCGGTCTCGATACCCCGGCGCCGCGCCCCAGGGTTGAGGTGTTGAGACCGCCCCCGACCACTCGGGAGACCTGAGGAGGCCAGCCGGGACTACCTGGGGGTGCTGTCTGCGCGCAGCCCGAAGCCTGACCAAACCAGGACGAGGAGGAGCACGTCTTCGATGAGGTCAAGCGGCTCTTCCACGCCATCGCTGGGGGCAGGAGGCGCATCGAGCTCCCCGACTTCCTGCGGCACTTCCGGAGGGGGGCCCTGGCGCTGGAGCCCGAGCCGCCGACAAGCGCAGTGGACCGATCGCGCGCGCGGGTGCTGGTGCTCGAGGCGGGCTTCGGCCGGGCGGGCAACACGGGGCGCAGCGCCGTGCTGGAGCAGGCGTCGAGGAACGACGAACGGCATAAGCAGAAATGTTCGGTGCTGCGACCGGAATCCTCCCCTGGCTCAGTATCATGTAACCGATCCCCATCCGCACGAGGCCACGTATCTCCGCCCCAACATCCCACCCCCCAGTTGGGGATAGGCCCCTCGAACCCCCAAGAGGACAGCCTGTATCCCCATCTAGGGTCTATTGGGTAAGTCAGCCAAAAAAGCTCACTAGCAGCGGCTTCGGCGCCCCCCCCAGGGAGGGGGGGGGCCCGGGGCCGATCCGAGAAATCCGCGCGGAGTTCCGAAGGCGTCTGTCCATGACGTGTGTTGTTCCTCTTGAGGCGGGCTACCAGCTGCGCTGGGCCAGCCTGGCGCCGGCAGAGCTGGGCGTCAGCGGCGCGCCCACGGCCCCGCAGCTGGAGGGCATCAGGTCCGCGGGCGGCCCGTATGCACCGTGCCGCATTGGCGTCTCCCGAGGCGTCATCAATCCTCGACCACCCTGGGATCCTGGCGTCTCAAGTTTTCGAGCCGGGCGTTTCCGCCCACTTTTGGTCCCCGGGGCCCTCACAGGATCGATCTGGCTCGAACAACGGCGCGGAAAGATGGGGTCTACATGGTCCTCCTGGTGATCTCTGACGATTTTTCAATTTTGTCGCCACGCCGGCTCTCAGGGCAGGAATGGTATTGGTGCGTCGTTTTTCGGCGACACACAACTATGCACCGTAATTGCCGCGTTGCAGCGGCGCCTGGGAGTCCACACATGATACGGTCGACTACACGTAAGAGTGACCCTTCGCCAGAGTGACCTTTGGTGCGTGCTCAGTGGGGGTCCCCAGATGGCTGAAGTCGATGCGATAGTAGCGGCCTGCGCGCTCCGGGTTTGGCCTCCCCGCGGCCCCCGAAAGTCGCGCACCAAAGGCCATTCTTACCCAGAGTCACTCTTGCGTGCAGCCGATACGGTGCCGATGCGGTGCATGGGCCCCGTTCCCGCACGAGGGAGCAGATCGCCGACTTCCAGCCGGACGTCGTCGTCGCTGCCGCCGCCGGCACCGCATGCGTGGCCGCCCTCTGGGGCGCGGGGTGCTGGGCGGGACCGACGGTGCTCGTCGACGTGCACCCCAGCTGCAGGAGCTCGGAGGAGGAAAGGAGATCCGACGCTCCCCCAAAATTGGAGCGGGCGGAGTGTGGCTGATTTCGGCCTCCGGGGGCCCTCGCCCGGCCTCGGGAGCGTCAAAAAACGACTCAGGGCGAAAAACCGGCCCTGGGGAAGTGGTGGAGACCTCCGGGGCCCACGCATCGAAAAAATCGGAGCAGCCGGATGTTTGGGATCCCGATGCCGCTGCTCGTTCTGGAGAGCCCTCGTCGCCACGGACGGCTGGAATCTCGAGAAATTCCAACCCGAACGCACCTTGGGAGAGGTCCAGGGAGCAGCGGTGCCGCTGTGTGTCCCGTTTCCCCCAGAGGAGGAGATGCCGAGAGCGCTGCCCTTCCCTCGTCGCCACGGCTGGGTCCGCGTCGAATTCTTCGAGATCTGCTCAGAACGCGCCCTGGGAGCGGCCCAGGGCGCGGCGTTGCCGGTAGCGTGCCGCTGCCCCCCCCGGCAGGAGCTTGCCGGCGGGGGTCCCCGTCGTGCTGGCGGGCGGCCCGCGCGGGTGGGCGCACGCGCAGGCGCAGGCGCAGCTGGAGGCCTTGCTGGCCACGGGCTCCAGGAGCTCGAGGGCGAGAGGCAGCCAGCCGCGTGCGCACAGGCTCGAGGAGCCCCGCGCGGAGTTCCCGGCCCCTGGCGGCGCCGCCCCGGCGCCGGTGCCAGAACTCCGCGCGGAGCTCCGAGAGCGTTTGGCGGTGCCCCTCGAGCGGGCTCCTTCCTCCCCCCCCGCTCCCCCGCGGCCGCCCTCTTCTGCTCCCCGCCTGCCCCCGCGCCTCGCGCCCGGGGCGGCCCGCCAGAACCGACCCCCGCGAGCCGGCGCATCCGCCAGCGCCGCCGATGAGAAAGCTCCTCTCCACAGGAGCGACTGCTTCCTGTACCGCGCGGCCGCCCCCCGAGCGCGGCTGCTGGCGCCGCCGGGCCAGCAGGGGAGCGCCAGCGGCCAGGAGGACACCCTGTGCCTCCACGATTGCCTGCCGCGCCTCGTCGATGCGGCGATGTGCCCCGAGGGGCCCGAGGTGCGGCCACGCGCGCAGAGGGGACCTCTGAGGGGGAGGGGGGGAGGCTTCTCAGAAGCGCCCTGCTTCCTGGAGGGCGCGGGCCTCCTCTGCAGTTGCAGGGCCGGCGCCGTCTAAGGAGCAGCCTCCTTCTAGGGAGCCTTCCCCCCCTCCCTCCACCCCGCCCTCTGCGCGCCGCCGAGAGGTGCACGTGCTCCGCAGCTGGCGCGCCCAGCTCGGCGGCGAGCGCTGCGAGGCGGAGCGGCAGCTGGGGTGCGCGGGGGAGGGCCCCGTGGAGATGAGCGGGGGCCCTCTCATGGCGTCTATCTCGCCCTTTTCGCTGGCCGCTTGGAGGAGGAGGAGGAGGAGGAGGAGGAGGAGGAGGAGGAGGAGGAGGAGGAGGGGGGAGGGAGGGATCTTCTCGTCGCCACGGCGGGTTTCCGCCTCGAAGGGGTCGGGATTCCGAGGCGGGAATTGATCCATAGCCACCGCTTTGGGGGAACGATCTTCGCGGACCTCCACGGGCGGTGGATGTGGATATGTTCGGGACCCCAGGGGCCAAACTATATCCATATGCACCGCTTGCTGGGTCCCCAGGACGTCGGTTCCCAGGCAGTGGGTATGGATAAATCCCCGCCTCGCAGGCATGAACCCCGGGAGGGGTCTGGGGACCGATTTTGAGCGGACTTGGGCCAGGTGGGAGGTCCGACAGAAGAATTGCAGCTGCAGCCATGAGGCTAAGACAGGAGCACGCCTCACACATTTCTTATGGCTTAAAGAGAATGCAGGTGACTCGCAGAGTTAGGGTCGTTCTGGAACGCCAGCGGGCTAGTTGGCCAAACACATGCCTACGTGAATCCGTGAGTCTGACGCAAATCCGACGTGAACCCGACGTAAACCCGACGTGGAGCCGACGTGAATTGGGTATCGAGTTGCCGCGCGAGGCCTCCAGGATCTACCTCCTAATTTGCTTTGCCCTGTTTGAAAACCGATGGCCGTTGTCTCAGCTCGCCCTGCTCCAAAGGTACGGCCCCGAGCGCCTGCGCCGCCGGTGGCGCTCGCCAGGCGGCCGGGGCATGGACGACCAGAAATTGTTCGGAGTGCCGCCCACGAGCGACGAGTTTCGCCTCGTGGAGGCGACCTTCCGGGCCCCGCCGCGCGAGGCGCCGGGCTGCGGCGACGGCGCGCAGGAGCCTCGAGGGGGGGAACTCGGAGTTTGGGCTGGGGGGCCGAGTTGGCCCAGCATTTCGGTGCGACCGACGGGTGTGGAAAGACCTGGCACGACAGGCAACACGAGCCCGTTTCTTTCTTGCTTGGGGCATGACGGGCGTCATGGCCCCCGGCCTCCCCCCCCCACTACGACGTAACGCTCCCCCCTCCATTGCGCTCCAGGCACTGCCCCCCGGTGCGCTCCGAGCATTGCCGCTGTGCGCATTGGGATCCGCGTAGGAATCCGCATAGGAGTCTGGTCCGCAGTCGTCGTCGTCGTCGTCGTCGTCGTCGTCGTCGTCGTCGCTCGTGGCTTGTCGCTCGTCGCTCATAGTCGTCGTGCGCGCGGACGCGGCTGAAGCCTGTGTTTTGATTCCGGGCCGATGACGGCAATCATCCCATCCCCCGAGCACATGTCCTTCCGACGGCTTCACCGTCGCCCTCATCCGAAAACCTCCTATTCATTCGAAAATCTCCCAATCCCCCGACAACTTCCTCCTTCTTCCCCTCCTCAATTCCTTCTCCGTACAGATGATTTCCCCCATCGCACCCCGAGGCCAGTTTTTAGGGCGGGCCGGGCGTTTCGCCTGAGACTTCCTAGCCACGTATGAGTCTGAAACCTAAAATGTGACAACAGCTTCACAGATGGAGGGTGGGCCCTTTTCAAAATGTGGTTCTCGGTTTAGCGCCGCACACATTCGTTTTAAACATGTGCAAGAGTTTTGCGGATTGAGATCGGGTCGTGTTCAAAATGTGTTTCTCGCTTCAGCGCCGCGCACAATCGTTTTGAACAGTTGTAAGAGTTTCACTGATTGAGGGCGGGTGGTTTTCAAAATGCGGCTCTCGCCTCAGCGCCGCGCGCATAAAACATTTGCAAGAGCTTCGCGGGTTGAAGGCAGGTGGTTTTCAAAATATGGTTTTCGCCTTAGCCCCGCACACATTCGCTTTACACATTTGTAAGAGCTTCACGGATTGAGGGCGGGTGGTTTTCATCATGTGGTTCTCGCCTTAGCGCCGCGCACATTCGTTATAAATATTTGGAAGAGCTTCTCGGATTGACGGCGGGTGATTTTCAACATGTGGCTCTCGCTGTAGCGCCGCGCACACTCGTTATAAACATGTCGAAAAATGTAGCTGATTGGGGCGGGTGGTTTTCAACATGTGGTTCTCGCGTTAGCGCCGCGCACATTCGTTTTTAACATTTGCTGGGTTTTCACGGATTGAGGGCGAGTCGTGTTCAAAATGTGGCTCTCGCTTTAGCGACGCACACATTCGTTTTAGAAATTGCAAGAGCTTCACTGATTGAGGGCGGATCTGTTTCAAAATGTGGTTCTCGCTTTAGCGCCGCGCACATTCGTTTAAACAGTTAGCAAGAGTTTCACAGATGCCCATGACCAACGTAGGCACCGTAGCCGTTTTGGCTCAAGAGAAACCCTGTGGAGCTAAAGCGACATAGCGAATCAGGGATTCGTTTGGCCTGTCCGTTGCCTGGCTCAGGCTGGTTTTGCTTGCGTGCTGCCTGCTTGACCCCTCCTCGGACAGATCGGTCCTCGCCGCGATGCCAAAGACCGACGTGGCCGCTCATGTGAAGGGTCTGACCGCCCAGGTGGAGATGTTAGTCAAAGGAATGCTCGAGCTCAAGGATGGCCATAAGGCGCAGGCGAAGGCTCTTGGGGGCCACACGAATCTCCTTGCCCAGCTCAGTGCACCATTCTCGGGGTTGGGTATTTTCAGGAAGTCAGTTCAGCAGGAGATTGCAGCAGTGCAGAAGAAAAGGGGAGGATAATGACAGTTTCTTGGCCTAGCTCCGTCGTGATATAGGCAGTTGTGGAAGTTTGAACAGTGATGAGCACGACGGCTCTGCTCCAGATTGTAAGAAAGCTCGTTCTGTGGGTGGTGCTTCGATTATGTCCAGAACTGCCCAAATTTCCTCGGAGGCGAACCAGTTCAAAGCAATATTGGTCGGTTTCAAGGATGAATTAAGTAAGAAGGTTCTTGAGAAGGCAGGTAATGCGATTCTCTCCTCTTCTGCGGCAGCCGAAGCCCAGCAGCAGATCAAGGTCACTCTTCAGACTTTCGCGAAGAAGGTGATTACTGCCTTTCCCCCGGTGTCGGACGTCCAGGAAATTCCCATATGCTTTCGGAAGAACTTCCCCGACGGCTTTGGTTTCGACACCCCTCGCGGTCATCGGTAGGATCAGGAAGCTTCTCGAACCTCTCATCGACCTCGAGTGGGACCTCCGCTCCAGTCCGCATAACAGTTTTTTACCCATATTGAAAACGAGAAGACCAGCGCGACCCACAAACTCTTCCAGGTCGAGAAGCCAGGTGTTGATACCTCGAGGTCGAAAATCAATTCGTTGCCGCGCACGTTCAAGGCCCTGAAGATCGAGGAATCGAAACCGCGGGAGATTGTGGATAAGGCATTCGAAGAGTTGCGTCTTCAGCGACATGGTAGCAGCAGACTCGCCAACAGCAGCGCCTGAGCGAGAGGGTACCATCACTCTCGAGATCGCCTCTTTCTTGAGTGCAGGAGATTATGTAGAGGCACAGCGCAGACTGAGGGGGATCCGTCAGGATTCATTCCTTTTGCTCTTGCCTGCAAAATCGGTGTCTGTGGTGACGCGGGGGTTATTCGGCAGCGTCTCCAGTATGCGGCATCGGTCTTGTCAGCGTTGGAAGCTTGTCTCTGGTCTTATCAGGCGTTGCCAGATCGCGTGCGTCCTGGAATTTCACGGCTATGAGGGGGACCTTATCTGTCTGCAGAAGGAATTCCCCAAGCATCGTCTCTTCTTCAACCCGCGCCCGCTGAACACTCCGGGTCATGGGGTCCTGTTGTGTATTCAGATGCGTGTTGCTGGGTGTTTCCCCGATTGCCACCATGAAGTGGTGGTTCTTGGGAAGATATCTCATGTCCTGGGCTGGGGCTCCTCTGGTATCCCCAAGATTTTCGGTGGTCCTCTTGTCGAGCGTTGATGCCGGCATCGGTCTCTATCGTCATCAGTTGACCCGTCTGCAGTCGACGCTCTTCTCTGCCTCTCTTGCCGCGAATCTCATCCTCGGGGACGTCCATTTTGCGTTCAGTGATGAGGGTCGCTTTCAGGTTCAGTCGGGCACCTTCGCTCGCGGGGGCACGGCCCACACTAGGGAGTGGAATCAGTGCTTTGGATCGCTCGCAGGACTGCCTGCACCAGCCTCTCGACGCTCGTCGAACTTGCCAGGGGACACAGATCGCGGGGGCCGCTCGGTTGGATCGGGTCTACATCAGCACGCACCCGTCTGTCTTTAATGATTTCGTGATCACTGGTTCTACTATCGGTATGGCTACCAACCTTAAGAATCTTTCGGGCCGCGTTCCTGTCGTTGCCACGGTTGCTCCGAAGCCTCGACCCGGCCCTGGGCCGCCCCCGATCCCTGCCCTGGACCCCTCGAACACCTGAGTGCCAGCCTATATTGGATGAAAGGCTTGCAGAGGTTGATATCAATCTTCGGCCCAAGGACCAGATGGAAGCTACCAAGGTGGCGACGCACGAGGCCCACCCCGAGTTTCGGAAAGTCCTGCGATGCAGAGAGGCCACTACGAACTACGACCCACGAATTTATTCGCTGGAGTGCGTCGGCTCTTCGCGCGTTTCGAGCTGGCCCTTCATCTCGCTATCTTCCTGTCCGCGCTGTGCGTGCTTACCCCGCTCTCTCTCTCTCTCTCTCTCTCTCTCTCTCTCTCTCTCTCTCTCTCTCTCTCTCTCTGACTTCTTTGATGTTGGCGCGTGCGCTCTGCTGGGCGACGCGGGCCTCTTCGCAGACACTGCTTCTCTTAACAGCGCTCTTTTGGGCGATGAAGACACCGCGCTTTGAGCAGGCCACCTCAATCCCTGGGCATGAGTTGCAGCGACGGCGTGCGCGCGTGCAGCGTAGTCGAGAACGTTGCTGCTCATTGAACCCCACTGTCCGTCTTGGTCATATTCTACATAAGCGCGCTGGTGTTCCTTGCGCGTCGCTTGAGCACGCAGGGCATGAGCTTGCGCGTCATTGGGGTGGCGCGTTAGCTCCAGTCGAACCCGATCGCTCTCTCTGGGACGCCCTGGAACCGTTCATTTAGAAGGCTTCGGGCGTCTACCCTGACCTGGAGTGGATCCTGGATCAAGAAGCGTTCGCTGCGGTGGTGAAAGTCACGGGGGATTCTATGCCGGGCGTCGACGGGGCGCCATATGGCTGCTGGAAGATTCCAGAAGCTCAGGAGAAGCTTACCTGTTCTATCGGCATTGCATCGCTCGCCCTCGCGAACCCCGCCCTGGCAATTTCCATCGGACGCCCATGGTCTTCCTGGCCAAAGGGGGCCACCCCGCTGATGCATCGGCGGTGCCCGCTAGAAAGCCACCCAGTACTCGTCTGCTCTCCATGGGTTGCACGGACTGCAAGTTGGCCACCTCTGTTATTGTTCGGCCTCTCTCTCTGCTGGGTCGGCGCTCAATCTTAGACAGTCAGACTGGTGGTGTCTCGGGTCGCTCGATATTGGATCACATCATCGCGCGTGAAGGAGATGGGGCATGCGCACGCCTTGAGGGGCAAGACAAAGCAGCACAGCTCCTGACCGTCTTTCGAGCCGCCTTCCCGAGTTTGAAAATCCAATGGTTGCTCTTTGTCCTTGTTACGATTATATTCCGAGGTGGGCCGTGACATTCTTCCCCGACCCTATGCGAGGATAACGCCGCCCTGGCCCACTTCTGCGGCGCTGTTTTGGCCCCGTTCTCGGTCGGGCGCGGCGTTCGCCATGGGTGCCCTGCGTCGACGCTCCTGTTTGCCCTCTCCCTTGACCCAGTGCGTCGTTGGCTGAACGCCACAAGTCTCTTAGTTCTCAGGCTTCCAAGATATGCCGGCGACTTGAGGTTCTGGTTGGCCAATATCTTTACCGACATGTCTCCGCTCTTTGATAAGCTCTGTCTTCTAGCTGGGGCGATCGGGCTTGAGTTGCACCTTGGGAAATGCATTATCCGAGTGGCCTGCCCGCAACAAGTTCAGAATTGCTCCCAGTTGCTACTATCTCTGGGACGAGGCCGCGAACGTTCTCTGCGGTCACGTGGCGCAGGCACCTTGGGATTCGCGTGGGTCCCGATGCTCGCCTCCGCTCGTTTCCCACGCAATTGGATAAATTATCCTGCCGAGTCTGCAACATTCGTTTGGTGGGTGCTGGGTTAGCTGAGTCTATTGTTGCCTACGATGTTCGGGCTGTTTCAGTGCTGGGCTATGTTTTCAGTTTCATAGGCCGACCCCCCAACTGCTGCAGACGGAAGACCGGGCTCTTCAGATCGTTCATGTTGGACCGAGGTACAGTTCCATTGCAGGAATGACGAAGTCCCTCAGGCACGCGGGGTGCAACGCTCAATGCATGGTCTGTCCCATGTATCCCAAGCTGCAGCGTTCAGAACAGCACAGGACTCAACGGCATGGGGCCAGTACCAGAGGAGTCCAGACGGGATTGTGCAGAACTCCGATGACTTGCATCCGTTTTCGGCTATCTCGCGGTTGGTTCGCTCACTCACTCCTGTCGTTCACGGCCGAGAACTATGCCAAGCATCTCCCCCGGGCTCGAACGATTAACCCAACGGCGCCCTACTTGGTCTCCCAAGCGAAATTGGCGTCGTCTCTCCGCGCAGAAGTTGGCCCCGACCCTCTTCGAGACGTCATCGAGCGACGTGTTCTGAAGTGGATACCCCTCCCTTCGCCTGCCTCTGTTTGGCCCCCCCTTTCACTAGACGTACGCGCGCGGTCTGTAATGCAGCTTCGATGTTTTTAGTGGTCGCCGCCCCGCGGGTTCTCTGTCGGGGACTTTGGACGACGGCCCGTTTTCGCGCCCAACCAAAACCCTGCGTTTGCGGTTGCCTGGGGGATGCAGATGACCAGCGCCACTACTTGCACTGCCCGAAAGGCCTTGAGCTCTTTTCATCTTGGGCCGCCGCCCTCTCCCCGCTCGGATTCGCCGACCCGCCCCGCGTTCTCTGCTGCGTAGATCGAGCGCCCGACGAGCCCAGAGACTTGGTTCCGCGCGCGTTGCTTGAGCGTTCTGTCCACACCCACTCGCAACTGAGAGCCGCTGCCGTGCCCAGGGGAGCCTCGCCTGCGTTAATCTTTGAGGGCCGTTTGCGGCTCCCGATGCAACGGCGCCCTCCCGTTCGCGCGGCTGTAAGAGCCGTCAGAGGTTAGGTCAGTCGGTTGTTCCGCGCGCGCGAGGTCCTCGATGATGGTCGACGCTATTTGTGCAGAGATGATTGTTTCCCAGGGACGCTTTGTGGGACTTGTTTGTTATTTCTCCTTCCTCGCCGCCGCCCCCCCTGTCCTGCTGCTGCCGCTGGCTGCCGCCGTCGCGCGCGCAGCCGCCGTCTGCCCTCTCGTCTCTCTTGCTCCTCTCGGCCCGTGAGTTTTAGTGCTTAAATTTTTGTTTTGGCCGTTTCGCATTTCCTGGAGCTTATGGTTTGAAATTTTGTCTTGGACCGCCCGCCTCTTTCGCTTCTCTTTCCTCTCTCGCCTCTCTCGCCTCCCTTGCTTCTCTTGCATGTTCCGGCCCGGTGGAGAGGCCCCCCGCCGCCCGCCTCTCTTCCGCGCTCTCTCGGTGCAGGGTTCCGGCGGACTCCGCGAGCCCGCCCGAAGGGTTAACCCAGCTACCGGCGCTGGGTACGGGCACGCCCGCTCTCGTGTTCTTTGCGCCCGCGCGCGCGAGGTTCTCGATGATGGTCGAGGCTCCGTGCGCCGCCCCGCTTGCTGCTTTCCTGGCCGCCCACCTGTCTCTCGGGTGGCTTGCCTCGCAGCTGCGATCGATCGATCGCTTCCTTTTTGCCTCCTTGCCTCCCCGCCCTACTGCCTGCCTGCTTGCAGGCTCTGGCTGGCTTCAGGTTGCGCGTCTTCCTTGGCGCCCAACCTGCGTTTGCAAGAGTTGGTTCGACTTCGTTTGCGCCCGTAGTCATGCACTGGTTTCACCCACCGTTACGCCCGTCGGCCCATCCACTTGCAGTTTGGCCGTTGTTTTTGCAATCAGCATTGCGTTTGCGGCTTCACCGAGCCCGAGGGAGAAAGAAAAAATAACGCACCAGAAATGGTGTTTTGGAGGGATTCAGGATTATGGCAGTTATGTTGGTTCGCGGCGTCGAAGTCTCAAATATTGCGCTCTGGCACGATTTCGGACCGTCAAAACGCAGCAGTCAGGTTGATGCGCGGGGTTGAAATCCCGAGGGCATGTTTTGGCATGCTTCAGGATATTCTGACGGTTGTCTTCCAACGAGGCAGTTACTTCAATGGAAATGAGCCGTTGCAGGGGCCTATGAGAGCCTGGTGGGAGGGTTAATTCCATCATCGTTGATGACTCGTGGGTTTACACTGGTCCTCCTCCTCCCCCTCCTTCTCCTCCTCCTCCTGCTCCTCCTCCTCCTCCTCCTCCTCCTCCTCCTCCTCCTCCTCCTCCTCCCCTTCCGAAAGTTTCGCAATCCTTCGGAAACGTTCCCCTTCTCCGAAAGCCCCTCCCTCTCCCGAAAACCTGTCGCTGCTTCGAAGGCATCACCTTCCGCCGAAAACTTGATTTTCATCCGAAAACCTCCCTCAGAGCCCCCCCCCCTCCGAAAGCTTCGGAGAACCCCCCTCTTCCGACCCTCCCCCCCCCAACCCACCCTTGCAAGCATCCCCCTCCTCCGACACTTCCCCCTTCATCCGAAAACCCCCCCTTCTCCTGAAAAGCTGCTCCTCCTCCTCCGAAGGTTCCCGCTTCAGCAAAGTCCCCGTCATCTGGACACCTCCCCCTCCCCCGACCCCCCCCCCGTCTACCGGAGGCCTCGCCCTCTTTCGAAAACGCCCCCTTCATCCGAAAATCCTCCGTCCGAGAAATTCCGCCTCATCCGAAAGCCTCCCCTCCCGAAAACCCCCCCCTCCTCCGAAGCTTCGGAAAACTCGAAAATTTTCCCTCATGAGAAAACCTCCTCCTCAGGAGGGGGGGGGAGGAGAAGGAGGAGGAGGAGGAGGAGGAGGAGGAGGAGGAGGAGGAGGGGGAGGGGGAGGAGGAAGAGGAGGAGGAGGAGGAGGAGGAGGAAAAGCAGGATCAAAATACGCAGAAGCCAAAGAAACAGGAGGACGAGGAGGAGGAGGAGGAAGAGGAGGAGGAGGAGAAGGAAGATGAGGAGGGCCCGCAGAATTGCTCAAGCTCTGGATTCCCGGGTCAACCAGGCACAACCCCCGGCCCCCCCACAAACCCCTTCTGGACCCCCACCTCACGCCCCGGGACCCTCCCCCCCCGCTTGGGGAAGGATTGAAGGAACGGGGCTCCCCTTCGACTCGATTACGACGTTGCTCGATTTTCCTTTGACTGGAACGAGTGAAGAGGAGGGCCCAGGTAAAGGGGGGGAGAAGCGACGACGACGACGACGACGACGACGACGACGACGGCGACGGCGACGACGACGACGACGACGGACAAGCTTCTCACACACGCCGACAGGGCCGGCGGCTTATGCAGGAACCGTGTTGTTGCCACTTCGTTGGCCGCGCCCCGCTCGAAAAGTATCGACATGGGCGTCCAAGGCCCTTGCATCCTTATCGCGCATCCTTGTGCTACGGGCCGAGTGAAATCTCGACGGGCCCTCCTTCCATCGGCCGCCCTCTGGAGGAGGAGTGGGCCAGGGTCAGGGTCACGGCGGTGCACCGCGTCGAGAACGGGGGGGCGTTCGAGCGGAGCACGAAGCCCTACCACGAGTCCGTGCGCAGGTCCTTGGAGGACCAGGCGCCGAGCGGTCGGTCCGGCTGCGCCTCCTCCCCCCCCCATCCCTCAATCCTCCAATTCTCCATCGGCCCTCCTCCACCCTTCCCTCCGCCCTTCTCCAGCAGCCATCCCTGGTCCCTCTTCCTGCCCCCCCCCCCTTAGCCTTCGCTCGCCACTCCTCCTCCTCGTCCTCCTCCTCCTCCTCCTCATCCTTCTCCTCCTCCTCCTCCTCCTCCTCCTCCTCCTCCCCTGGCCGTCCCGCTGCCCCTCCGCTCTCTGTATCTCTCTCTCTCTCTCTTGTGTTGTTGTTTCTCTCACTCTTTCTCTCTCTCTCTCTCTCGTTTTGTTTGTTGTTCAGATTTCTTTGTTTGTTTGTTCTCTATGTCTCTCGTCTCTCTCTCTCTCTGTTTCCCCCCTGTATGTATACACACATGGATATCAGTTTCTCTCCTCTCTCTCTCTTTCTCTTTCTCTCGCTCTCTCTCTCTCTCTCGCCTTCTCTCTCTCTCTCTCTCTTTTTCTCGTTCTCGCTCTTCACTCCGTCCTTGCTTCCATCCTGTCGGTCCCCCCCCGCCTTTCTTCCTGCTTCCACTCCCTCTTTCCCCCCCTCCTCGTTATCAACCTCATTTCTTTTCGTCTTTGTGTTCTTCCTTCCAGGGGAGCAGACACGGCAGGGGGAAGGAGGGGAGCGAGAGGAAGAGGGGCATGTGAGTGAGCAGGAGAGGGAACGGAGGCGACAGGGGAGTAGAAGAGGAGGAAGAAGAAGGGCCTGTGAGAGACGGGGAGGAAGCTCGGAGGATGAGGGGGAGCGCATTGCGAGCAACGCGCCGGTCTGACAGGAAATTGTGCCTAACGATGTGTTGGGCCACGCGCGGTGTGCGTTTGCCCAACTTAGATAGCAAATCTTGTTGGCTAAAAGATGAGTGCGCAAGTCTGCAGCGACAGAAATGCGACAATAAACATATGCGAACCGCCCCCGGGCTCGCGGTCCCCAAGGCACAGAACTGGACGGTTGAAACCCAGGCCCGCCTGCGGGCGATTGCCCCTGACCCAGGCGCCCGGGGGGACGGCGGAAACACTCCTGCCACCGAGCTCAGAAAAACGGTGCCGCCCAGCCTGCTGAGTTGGAGGAGGAGGTTGGGTTGCTCTCCATGGGGGGTGGGTTTGGAGGGACGGTCTTTGAACCGCTCCCCCCATGACGGCCACTGGAACACCCACTTCGAGAGGCGGAATTGGAAAGGGGGAGGGGTATAAGGGGAGTCTAGCAGGAGGCGGGAAGGGCAGATGGGAATCGGAGATACAGGCGAGATGAGGAGAGGGAGAGGCAGAGACCGCCAGGAGGGGGAGGAGGGGAGAACAATCAGGGGACAGGATGAGAGGCGGAGATGGAATATCTGGGGGTAGTCGAATCGTGCTAGATAGGGAATAGAGAGTAGCAGAGAAAGAGAGGGTTCGGGGTGGGTGAGCAGAGGAAGATATGAGGATGGAGAGCCTGGTTGGATGGAAAGGAAGTTAAGTGAAGAGGGGAAATTAGGGAATGAGCGTGGGCATGACAAGAAAGAGAAGAAGAGGGGCACGGGAAGGAGAGGATGAGAAGAACGGCGGAGGGTGTGAAGGGCAGAGGGGAAGGATAGGGAGAGGGAGAGACCCGAGGAGGGGGACGGGGATAAGGAAAGGGAGAAGGAGACGGAGAGCGGTGCAGGAGGGGTAGGGTGGAAGAAGCGGGGGGAGAGGGAACAGAGGACGCACACAAGCAACGGGATGGCGGCGATGAAATCACTGAGGGCACACGTGTGAATTGTGCAGGCCCAGATGTTTGCCTTCAGCATGTGTGTGCCTTCAGGGGCAGGAGCTGGCAGGCGGCGGCGGCAGCGACCGCGCGCGAGTCACCTTCAGGGTATCGAGTTCGAGCCGGGGACCCACACGTGCTGGGCATTCCACGGAGCGGACGCGGCCACCACCCAGACCATCGTCAACGATCCTATCACCGGGCGGCCAGCACCGCAGGGGCAAGTGAGATTCGACATCTTTCCTCGTAGCCCTCCGCCCTCTTCTGCGCCCTCCTTTCCTCCCTGCCTGCACTCCTTTACGACTCCTTGCTTTTGCAGCTCTCCCCGAGCCCTTCCTCCTCCTCGTCCCCTTCGGGCGCAGAGACCGCGAGCTTGGCGTGCTCGGCAGAGGTGCAACATTCAAGCGTTTCGTCGGAGGCCGTCCTGGTCGCCGAAGCTGCGAGCACATGCAGTTTGGCTGCCAGCCGAGTGTGCCGCGCAAGGATTGGCCAGACGAGGAGGAGAAGGACGCAGCGGGGTCCATTGCAGAAGCAGAGTCGAGGCCGAGGCGTCGCGGCACCGCGAGCACAGGCACGACGGAGAAGCGCGCCAGGCCTCGCGCAGCCGCGGGGCGGGGGTTCATCCACGGGGAGCCGCATTGCGTGGGAGGTTCACAGGCGTTGGGGCAGCCGAGAGTGGGGACGAGCGGGCGCGCCCACGAGCGGAAGCCGACGAGAGAGTGGAGCAGCGGCAGGCCAAGGGCCAAGCGAGCAGGGGGCGCAGCAGGCCAAGGGCCAAGCCAGCAAGCAGGCAAGGCAGTGCGGGGGAGGCACCCGAGAGGTGCAGAGTTGAGGTCAATGCGAAAAATGAGCCAGGCAACCTAGCGAAAGAAGAAGTGGAGACCAAGGCGAAGCAACTGGACGAGGAGAAGTCAAGCAAGAGTGGCAGAAACTTGCAAGGACCAGGCGGGAGAACGGCTCGAAAACCATGTGTCCGAGAAGGACAGACAAAGAGGAGGATGAAGCTCTTGAGCGACAGCATACCGAAGCAGATGTGGAACACAATATGATCCAGGGTCTGGGCAGCCCCCACCCCCCCTCATGCTGATGCCATCGGCCCCGGCCCACACCGCGCCCGATGGGCCCCCCCCTGTGAGTGTGGAGTGCGGCGTGATTGTGGTGGGCAGTGGTGGTGGTGATTGTGGTGGTGGTGGTGGTGGTGGTGGTGGTGGTGGTGGTGGTGGTCGTCGTCGTGGTCGTGGTCGTGGTGGTGGTGGTGGTCGGGCCCTCTGGAGTAGGGCGAGGAGGAGGAAGAGGTCGAGGAGGTGGTGGAGGCGCAGCTCGCAGGCGGCAGACCGCGGCGGAGGCCCGCCTCGGAGCGGGGAGCGCCGAGGAGGAGGAGGAGGAGGAGGAGGAGGAGGAGGAGGAGGAGGGAGGAGGAGGGAGGATGAAGAGGAAGATGAGGAGCAGGAGGAGGAGGAGGAGGAGGAGGAGGACATCAGACGACGAGGAGGAGCAGGAGGGAGGGACGAGAAACAAAACTGAGGGAGGAGGAGAAGCAACATTGTCGACGACGGTGTCTTCCCCGTCGTCGCCTCCCTCGGGGTGTGGCGTGGTGTTGCCGTGCTTCAGGGAGCTGGAGCGGACGGTGTCTTCGTCGTCGTCGTCGTCGTCGTCGTTGTCGTCCCCCCCATCCCATCCCGGGAGGGGGCCGGAGGGACCTTGAGACCCATCCCAACTGGGGGGGGGCAGTGGGCCCGGAGCCCGGGATCATATATGACGAAAAAGAGAAGATAATAGATCTCGAACAAGGACCAGGAGCCAAGGCACACGACGAGGCCGAGGGAAGGAAGAAGGAGACCGAGGCGAGTGCGAAGACAGCGGCAGAGGAGCTTGCAGGACAGAGGCACGGCGAGGGGAACGCGAAGAAGCAACCAGAAAGGCCCGCGCGAAAGACTGCTAGCTGCTAGCCATGGAATGGACACCTCACTGAAGCTCGCAAGCGTTCGACTGCTCGGCACGCGCGGCTCCACCGCGAACCTGGGAGTGAGCACGGCGAGGGGAGAGAACGAGTGGAGGCCGCTCCAGAAAAGACAGGGAGACGTCCTGTTCAAAGCCAACGAGACGCGGCAATGGACTGCATGTCGACGAATGCGCAGCGGTTCAACACAGGCGCGCTCTCCGGGGCCGGCGCCGACGAGGCGGTAGACATTGCCTGCCGGCGGCGGGCGCCTCGCAGCGGAGCGGCGGGTCCGATCAGCGCTGCCGCGGCCGCCGCGGCTCGCCACTCCGCCGAGGCCTGTGCCCTGCCGCAGAAGCGGGCCTTCCACGCCTCGCGGCGTCGGAGGGGAAAGGCAGCACCGCGAAAAAAAAACACGACCCGAACCGTGCAGGCTTTATTTTATATCTGCCTGCAGCATCCTTCGGGCAGGATCGATATGTGATGGACCCGGGTCCCGCCACCGTGCGAAGACGCCACGCCCAGCGTCAAAAAGTTGCAACGCACGGACTTCAGGGGGGCTTTTGGGTTGCAAATCATGGGAACCTTGTATACCCTCGCACCTATGTTTTTAGCGTCGACTAGCGTCGAGTAGTATCTGGGAGTCGATGAGATAGGGCCGATATAGCGTCGATGGGCGTCGATTTGGCGTCGATTGGCGTCGATTGAGCCTCGAGCGTCGCTTCGCAAGAGCCGACACACGAATTGCCACCGAAGGGGGGGCCTGGCCCGGCCCCCGGGCCCGTTCGGGGGCCCCCGAGCGGCGGCAGGCGTGCCCCCCCGCTTGTTGCAGCGAGGCCCCCTTGGCGCGTGGCCCTTCTCCGGCCACTTGAGGGCGCGGAAGGCCCGCCCGCGAGCGCGCCTCGCGAGCGAGCCTCCGCTCTGCCTCTGCGGCGCTGCCTCCTCTGTCGGGATCCCGCACAGGGGGGTGCGCCCCGGGGCGCATGAGTTCGATCAGGGTGCGCCCCGAGCCGCCTAAAACAGATGCCCCCCAGCCACCGGCAGCCCCCCGATAGCTGCCGATGGGGCGTTCGCGGCGGTTCGGTGCACCAGAGGATCGAACTCGTGTCCCCCTCTCAGGGTCCCCCCCCCTTGTTGGTGGATCCCGACTCTGTCCTGCCTCTCTGCGTCGGGGCTGGCTGGCTGGCTGGGTCCGCCGCCGCAGCGCGACTTCCGTCCAGCACTCCGTTCTCGCACGCGCGCGGGCCAGGCAGCAGCAAGAAGTGTGGTTCGCCCAGTCGGCGCGCGACCCCGACGAGTCCGCGGCGTCCGCCGCCCACTCACCCGCCGGGGTTTGCGGCAGCGCGTCGGGGCCATGAGCGCTGCTCTTTCGCAAGGAGGGCGGAAGGGTTCCACATGCACACTCGCTCGGCTGCCCGAGCCCATGCACTGGCGTTCACCGTTGCCTTCGACCCCTCTCCTCCTTCCTCCCGGCCCCTCCCCCTCCCCGGCAGGCCCTGCCGAACAGAGAATAATGGCTGCCTCGGAAGTAGCCCTGCCGAACGGCAGGGCTACCGAACGGCTGCCGAACGGCAGGCCCTGCCGAACAGCAGAATCATGGCTGCCGAACAGGAGAATCATGGCTGCCGAACGGCAGGCCCTGCCCCGGAAGTAGCCCTCGGCAGGCCCTGCCGAGGGCCATTTCCGGGGCAGCGAATCGCCGACGACCTGGCCCCATTTCGCCCCCGTCGCGGCTTGCGGGGATGGGGGGCGCACGGCGCACGCAGCCATATTTCGGAGTTCGTTTCCAATTGCGCTCTTCCTCCCTCCTCCTCCTCGTCCTCCTCGTCCCTTAATATCTGACGTCGCGAGACACTTGCAGCATCATGAACATCGGCTCCAGGTCCAAGGGGGGCCTGATGGATTTTAGGCCCCCGCTTTTCTGATCTGCGCTGTCAAGCTTGTTTGCTCTGTCTCTGTCTCGCCCTCTCTCCCTCTCTCTCTCTCTCTTTCACTCTTTCTCTCTCTCTCTCTCTCTTTCTCTTTCTCTCTTCCTCTCTGTCTCTCTCTCTCTCTCTCGCACTCCCTTTCGCTCTCACTTGTTCCCTGTGTGTATGGGGGGGCACCCATAGCTTCCTGGGTTCCCGGTCCTGGGTTCCCGGTTCCGGGTTTCTGGCCCGATTTCGGTGGGCGGCGGGGTTCCCGGGTTCCCGGGTTTTTGGTCGATCTTCTTATCGATCGGTCTCACCATCGATCTCATTACCCATTTCTCTATCGATCCCAATATCGATATCATTCTCGATCGCACAATCGGTCTCACTATAGATCGCACGATCGATCTCACTATCGATCTCATTGAACCGACTTCCTTATCGGTCCCACGATCGACCTTACAATCGCCCCACGATCAATTCCACGATCGATCCCCCAATCGATCTCAATATCCACATCATTTGGTTTCAAGCCACTGGGTTTTTCTCTGGTGTATTGTTTCTTTCCTGGGACCTTTCCCCCACGGCCCAGCCCCGTGCGAGGAGAGAGCCCCAGACAGCGGCAAGCCAAGCATGTGTAAGAGCGGCAAGCCAAGCTCCATCGGTGACAGTTCTTCTTCCTCCTCGTCCTCTTCCTCCTCCCTCTAACTATCCTTCCCCTCCGTCCTTCCTAAGGATTCCTTGCGAATGAACACGGGTTCTTTACTTCGGATTCCAAATTTAAGATTCCTTGTAGAAGACTCCGCACTAAGGAATCCGTATTATTGATTATTTGGGTACCCGACAACGTATACCCGCATAAGGAGGCTTTATTCAGGGTTCCAGGTTAAGGATTCCTTGCTAGGGACCCCATGTAACTAAGGATTCCTTATCAAGGGTTCCTCACTAAGGATTTCCTCTTAAGGACTCCTTGTATGAAGTCATGATGGTGGATTGCGCACTGCGAAAGGATCCCCGACTAAGGTATCCTGATTGTTAACTCTTTACATGGGCTTCCTGACGAAGGGTTTCTTAGTGAGGATCCACCATGACGGACTCCTTACGAAGGACCTTTGACTCTGAATTCCTTCTCCAGAAGTCCTTATGAAGGACTCCCGACACAGGGTCTTGTACGATTGATTCCTTACTTAGGACTCTTTACCAAGAAGTCCTTATGAAGGACCCCTTACTATGGATTCCTTACAACGGGTTCCTGTTATGAATTCTTCACTGCGGATCCCTGACTGAGGCTGTCATAATAAGGTTTCTTTGTTTGGAGAACTTACTAATTGATGAGGGTTTCTTTCCTTCTGGTTCATCCTTACTGCGGACTCCGTATCAAGGGTTCATTACGAAGGCTTCCCCATTAAGGGCTCCCCATTCAGAATTCCTCACTAAGGCTTCCGCACTGAGGATGCCTTACGCAGAACCCCCGGCTAAGGATCTCTCACAACAGATTCCCCACCATGGATGCCGACCAAGGGTTCCTCACGCAGGGCCCTCTCCCCAGGACTCCTTATTAAGGATTCCACATCTCGGATTTCTGGTTCAGGTTCCTTTTACCAGGGCATCCTTATTGGTGATCCCGTAGACAGAGATCCTGGGTGGGGATTCCCCACTAAGGATTCTTGTTGAAGGGTTCGTTCTTCAGGGTTCATGAGTGTGGATTCCTTACGAAGGTTTCCTTGCTAACGATCCCTCGCTATGGGTTCCTGACAACGGATTCTTTACGAAGGATTCCTGGCTGAAGATCCCTTAGTAAGGTTGCCCGAACAAGGCGTCCTCACTAAGAACTCATTGGTGAGGACTCCTTCCTTCGAATTCCTCGTTAAGAAGCGTTTACTCGTAATGTATTATTGAGGGTTCCTTCCCTCGGGTTCCTTACGAAGGCATCCGTACGAAGGGTTCCTTCTTAAGAAGTCTTCCGTCGGACTCCTGAGAAGAACCCTTTTCTCATGGATCTCTTACAAGGCGCTTCTGATCGAGGATCCCCATTACTTTATGAATGATTATCCAGTCAGGATTCCTTATTCAGGATTCACCACCTAGGATTCCTTATTAAGAATCTCTTCTTCACGCATGCTACTGATGACGCCTTAGGGAGGAGTCCCGATTGAGGATGCGCTACTAGGAATTCGTACGTAAAGTTTGACTACTATGGCTCCCTTTCTGCGAGTTCCTGACAAAAGGGTTCCTTATCAAGAACTTCTCATCGACTCCTTCGTGAGGACTTCTTATTAAACTGTCCATGCGAAGGGCTCCGTTCCAAAAACTCATTGATCAGGATTCCGTGTCTTTGGTTGTTGGTTGATACGAGCTTACTGATAGAATTTTCTTGGAGACTCCCTACCGAGGATTCCTTACGAAGGTTTCCCCAATAATGGTTCCTGGGTAAGAAATTCGAAATGAGGGCTCCAGTATATTAAGTTGTCGCCAAGACTCCTCTAATAGAAATCTTCTTGCAGAAGTATCTGCGAAGGATGACTTACTCGGGCTCCTCCTTTCAGGAGTCCTTACTACTGGGCTTCAGACGGAGAAGCAATTAATCAAGATTCCTTAATGTTGATTTCCCATTCAGGTTTCCTTACTGGGATCTCAGTATTAAGGATCCTCTTTATAACCGAAAAAAGCTTCGGCGCAGCTTGGACATCAGGATAACAGGGAAATGGTGTGAGAGAGAGAGAGAGCCAACCAGCAAAAAAGGTGACAAAGTGAGAGTTTGAGGGGACGAGAGAGAGAGAGGGAGCGAAAAATTCGCATGCGAATTTCAAAAAGCGAACGTTTTGAATCCACCAGGCCCTCTTTAGACTTGGAGCCGAAACATCACGACCACATCGTTAGACCCCATTTTTCTGATGCATTTTCCGAGCGGGATCGATACGTGATGGTCCCGTGGCCCGGAACTGGCCGAAAACGCTTGCCGTGGCAAAATTGCAACGCCCGGATCTCAGGGTTCTTGCCCTTCTCGTCCTCATCGTCCTCCTCCTCCCCAATCCCTCCCCGACTTGACGGGAGGGCGAATCTCCGTCGCCGCTGCGGTCCTGGCTGCCCCGGCTCGTCGCCGGATTTCAGCCGCTTGCGGCCTCTGGCACCAGCGGGGGCTCCGCCCCCTGGGGCTCCGGGACCTACTTCGCGCGGGACGCCAGGCGATCCAGCGGGCCCCACCCAGAGGGGAGGAGGAGGCGGAGCAGGATCAGAGGATCGGGGGTGGCCAAGAGGGGGGTGATGACTAGGGGAGGGGGTGGATGTCATGGCCGCGGCCATGATACTTCCCCAGATTTCATGGCCCCTTCTGCTTCTTTCAATACGTCCTTTGGCCTTAGCTTGGCCGCCCAGGTACCTCGGGCCATGATTTGCGCGCCTCCACCTCTTGGACGTCCCCCTGTTGAACGCCGCCCCCAATAGGAGGGGCCAGTTGAGACAAGGGTAGTGGGCCTTGGGGGGGTCTCCTCGTCGCCATGGTTGGGCGCAGCTGGGAAAGCTTGTGCGTTTGGACCCCAGGAGGGGTCAGGGAGCTTATTTTGAGCTGCCGTTTGTCTCAACTCGCCCGGCTCCGAAAGGAAGAGGAGGCGGAGTAGGGGGGAGGAGGCGGGAAGAGGGGCGCGATGGAATCGTGTAAGTGCGTATATTGATTGGGCAGTTTCATGCTTACCTGTCGCATAGAAGCCCAGGCCGAGGATACAGCAGAGCAGGAAGGGACACTGCGGAAAACGATCGGCTCACTCAAGTTGTTCGAACACTTGCAGGACTATTGCTCCAAAGAGATTATGCAGCAGCTGCTCTGGGGTAAGCACCACACGCTTTGCATAACCCAGGGGGAAGTCGCACCCGAAGCGCCTGCTAATCTGCCTGCGTGCTGGGATGTGACCACTTGAAAGAAGGCATGCGTCCGTGCACGTGCCAAAGCAGGCGCCTCAGATGACGCCCGGTACGCCCAGCAGTGTGGACCTCCGCCGACGGAATCTACAGAGACGCCTTCGGCGGCGCTTCGCGGCCACGAGAGACATGCATGCTGCGAGCTACATGCCTCCTTCCCACGAACACTTCTGTCGCTTCCAGGCGAAGATGCCGACAGCCACTGGCACGCTCTCTCCGAAGTCCCGTGCAGGATGTCATCACAATGCGGACTCCATGGGGATTTGCACAGGGGACTCGAAGAGCGAAGTGCTAAGGCTCATGAAGTCACGAATGCTGGTAAACTTTAACACGCAAGCTGCGGTGTAAAGGTCAGATCGGCAAAGCGATCGGAGGATACGTACATAGTGCAGCATGGTGCGCCATGCGAGGAACTTGACGCCTATCCATCTGAGGACGCACGCGTGCCAGGAGAGATTCGCGCACAACATAGCAGGTAGGCCCATCAGAATGTTGTGCTCCGTCACCGCCACGAAAAAAATCGCTGCGCCAGAGGAACAGGGACGCCCTTGACCAAACCTGTCCAAGAACGCCCAAGTCGCCATTTGAAGGCCAGGATCCTTTGGAGGCCACACAGAGCTAACTTGAAGAATACGATCTTCTCGGCAAGGGCGTTGCTAAGGTCGTCGTGAGTGGCCCCCGCTTCGCCCGCATGGTATGCCGTCCTAGCTGCGCAGGGCAATCAGCGTACAGCCAGCATCTGCGGTGGTGGTCCGCACATGGGTTTGCCCGGGTATTTATGTTTGGACAGTTCGCGCACACGGTTTGCAGCCCAGCACACGGAGTACATGACGTCGGTCCGTGGTGCATTCGTAACGACATGTTTGATGTCGTCGACGCGGAGGTTGACGTTTGCATCTTCCATGTTGCCAGACCGAGTCCTATTATAGGTGTCTATCCGTTCTCGCATTGCTCCTGCAGTCGACGCGGCAAATCCCGGGGCAGCATCATTTTGCATGTGAGTGAGTTCTCCGCACGTGTGTGACAACGAGCGTTTCCAGTTGCATCGGGGATGCAACACCAGCGGCGTCAATGTAGCATCTCACCAGGAGTTGTAAACTACAGCATCGACTTCCCTGTAGGATGTAAAGACACCTGGCCGAAGCGGTGGCGCTCACCATGGCGGAGCCAGCAAAACGGCGCCAAGTATTTACGCGACGCGAAGAATTCGGCGCTGATGTTTGCAAATTGGTCGTATGACACCGTTTTGCTTTGCAGTCGCGCCATCACATCCCATCTAAAGCTTTGCCATGCCACTGTTGGTGTGGTCGATCGGGACCCGGACTATGCCAGGCAATAGACGATCCAGCTGGTGTGTTGCATTCAAATTCGGAGTCTTCATGTACAGCGTTTGCACGCGAGCGCACGTTGCATGTATACTTCCGCTTGCATGTTGTCGAACGTGGAGCTGTGCACGAAGCCTGCTTGCACCCCCTCAAGCTGCTGGAATATATCCCGCTTCGCAAGCCAGGGTCGGGCAAAAACGCGGTCGCGAAGCCCAGTGCGAAGGCCAAAGACACAAATCATGGGACCGCGAGAATGACGAGAGGGATGAGGGGGAGGAGGATGCGGTCGGGGAGCCTGGAGTGGGTATAGGGAGGGGCAGGATGGAGGCAACAGGAGCGCAGGGGCATGGGGACCACTGGAGGGGAGGAGGACCAGAGCAAGCCCAGGATGTATCAACGATGCAGCAATAATCCTCCAGTCCCAAGTGTCCCTCCTCATAGTCCTTACGAGCATTCCTTGGCACTGTCCCCCCCCCTCCCTAAAAAAACAAGCGCCCACATGGGCTTGCCCTTAAGGGGAGAGCTCCGATCAGCGCTCCGCTTTGACAAGGAACCAGCTTCCATCTTTGCAGCTGTGAAAAGTGCCGAGGGGTATGGCCGTGAAGGCCAAGAAAAGGTCCAGTTTGAACCATCCGTGGGTCTGGTGCACATCTGTCAGATTTTGTGTGGGAGCTCAAGAGAAAGCCGATGCGAGAGCCTCATGTTGACGAGGGTCCGCCCTGCACCCATTGACTGCTGCACATACTGAAGTCATCTGTTGCAACATTTGAACAATTCCGAAGCCAGAGCCTCATGCTGGAAAAGAGTCGCCTTCCATTCGCGCAAAGAAGGAAGGCCACAGGCACGGCAGGCGCGTGTCGTGTCGACGCGGCGGCGACCCCAGTGTGGGCGTTCAAGGTTGAACGCCGCCGGGTGGCCCCGAATCGACCATCAATCGATCTGCGCTACCGCAAGGCGCCGACCGTCCAAGGCCGAACGACTCACGTGGTGTCAGAGACCAATGCCGAAGTCGCCACGACACGAGCCTGCCACAGGGGGGGAGGACTGAACAGGCCTCGGATTGCGCGCAGACAGCCCCCCCGCGTAGTCCCAGCTGGCCTCAACAGGCCCCCCGAGTCTAGGCATCGCTCGGACGTGTGCATTTTTTCTCGGCGAGAACCATCGAGGACCACCCTGGACCATCGAGCAAAAAAGCACGCACGAAACCGAAAAATGCACGGGAAATGAACGTCCGAGCGACGGCAAGGAGTAGTCCAGGGCGGTCTCAACACCCCAGCCCTGGGCGCGGAGAGCCCAAGGGGCGCCGCTGGAGGCGGCGCCGGGGCGCTGAGACCGCCCCTGGGATGCTGCAGGGGCCTGTGGAGGCCAGCTGGGACTGCCGGGGGGAGCTGTCCGTGCGCAGCCCGGAGCCTTACCAGGGAGAGCCGCCGCCCCTCGTCCCCCCCCCCCAGATTCAGAGTTGGTCCGAAGCCACAAGGTCCAAAAGGCCCTCCTCCTCCACCTTCTCCTCCTCCTCCTCCTCCTCCTCCTCCTCCTCCTCCTCCTCCTCCTCCCCCTCTCTTTTCTCTCCCTTTCTCTGCCAGCGGATCGACAAGAATTGCAGCGGAAGGGCTGGGCGGGAGGGGCAGGATGTCAGAGTTGGTCCGAAGCCTTCGGCGGCAAAGGCGCAAGAGGGCAAAACAGTGGTACTCCCAAGGGCCTCCGCGAGGCCAAGACCAGCGCTGAATCCAAGGCGAGGGGGGTGGAGGCGGGCGAACACGGGGTCGAAAACGACGGGGTTCGATTTGTCCTTGATTGTGCTTCGCCAGAGTGTTTGAACAGTTTCAAAAAGTGTGCAGCAGAGGACAGGGAACGGGGAGCCCGAGACCGCCTGGTCTGGCAGCGGTTTCGCCTGAGAATGCTTCAACTTGGAGTCAGGAATCGTGTTCTCGCCTCGATGCCGGCTGCATGTTCGGTCTGGTCGGCCACGCTACGTTCACAAGCAAATAGGTTCAAGGTGCATTTGGCCGTGCTCGGGAAACTTGTGCCCCCAGACCGGAGGGCGGGTGTGCGAGGACAAGACGATGTATTGTTTCTGGGCATCGTTCGGACGTGTTTGTTTTGTTCTCGGCGAGGCCAGCGCTAGGCCATTTTGACCATCTTGGAGCATGTTTGGGAGACTCTTGCGAGAACAACGCGCACGAAACCAAGCAGTGCTCGGGGAGGTAATCGTTTTCTGATTCATTGCTTTGCCGATCGGCGCGAACCTTCGCCCCCCCCCTCCCCCCCCCGTGGAGTAGACCTTGGCTGTTTTTTGGCGCTTGTTTCGAGCAGGTGGAGTCTCGCCCATAGGACGCACTGTTGCAAACAGTCGCATTAAGCAGAAGTCCGGAGCCAGACTCCCCCCCCTCTGAGCCTCCGCCCAACGTCGAAACGCCGAAAAAGGAAACGTTTACGAGCGGACGCCCGAGCGATGGCAAGTCTCATCCTTATTTTGAAGCACTTCTGCCCACCCTCAACAGCATGATATACCCAAGAAGCAGACCAGGGGGCGGGCAAGGGTCCTGCCTGGTCGTGGTTTTGGCATGCAGAAGCACATCCCTGGTGCGTGGTTTCTATGCATACAGTTACAGGTATAAATATATATAGATAGATCGAAATATCGATTTATATATATATATATATCATTATATAGACTTCTATAGTTAGATAGATGGATGGATAGATAGATAGATAGCTATATATAGATAGATAGATATGAAGATATATATATGTAGACATATATATATATGTGTATATGTATATACATATATATATATATATAGATATACATATATATAGATACATAGATAAATATATAGACATATAGATCGATAGACATATATATATATATATATATAGGTACACATAGATAAATATATATATATATATAGATATGTATATATATATATATCGATACACGAAGCGTGTTCTGGCACGGTAGGATCGCGTCGTGTCGACCGGCGGCGGCCCAGAATCGGTCGATGTTGAATGATCTGACGTGTCGGAAACGGCCGATCGGTCAAGGGTGAACGATCCCCGTGGTGTCAGGAACCAACGATGGGGTCGGCACGGCACGAACCTGCCGTACACAGCCAAATTGCAGAACAAGGATGATCCATTTCCCGAGGCTGCCCTTGCATTCTTGCCGTTTCGGCCCATCCCTGGCGACTTCCGCCGGCCAGCCCCGCTCGGAAATGCCACCATGGCCCTCCCAGGTCCTTGCACCCTCACCGCGCACCCTGACTACGCTACTGGGCAGCACAGCAGCAGGAGGGCACGGCAGGGGGACAGCGGGCAGCAGGCGCCTCGGGCGGCAGCGCCGGGATGCCACCTCCCGCAAGGCGCGCCGTCGCCGGAGGCCTCTGCCCCCGCGCCGCGGACGGCACCCGCAGCGTGCTGCTGTGCCTGCTGACGACGGGCGTGCCGCGCCTCAGCGCGCCCCGCGCGCGCGCCCGCGGGCCCGCAGAGGCCAGGCCGCCGTCGTCGTCGTCGTCGTCGTCGTCGTCGTCGTCGTCGTCGTCGTCGTCGTCGTCGTCGTCTTGGTCGTGATCGTCGTCATCATCGTCGTCGTTTTCGTCGTCGTCGTCGGGTGACACAAGCATAGAAACTCGGAGGTCCGCGTCGGATTCCTCGGATCGGCGTTGGGGCCCCCTGGCGGCGCCTCCAGCGCCGCCACTGTTCACTGGTGCTCAAAGATAGTTCAATCCCGAAAAATGAACCAGAAAGAGAGGGTCGCTGTGAGGACCCTTCAGATGCAGCTTTACTTCTTGTTCGCGTCACAAGGGCTCCGTACTGGCGGCGGTCATGGCCAGCACGTGGTCGCGCAGCCCCGTCGGGTCACTGGACCAACACGGGGTCACACCAGCCCCGTTGCTCTCCCGAGGGCTCCCGAGAGGGGTCACACAACAGGCACGCCAACACGAGTGTGTGTGTGTGACCGCCGCAAATTTGCAACGCTACAAAGAAGACGCAGCAGGATCCTGGCGTTGCGACTTGTTTCAAAACAGGCGTTTTCGCCTGGATTCGGGCCCCAGGACCCTCACAGATCGATGCGGCCCGAGACTATACCCAGACAGATAGGTCTGGGGCTCCGGGGATGATGTTTTGCGATGCTGCATGTTTCGTGCAACGGGGGACTGCCCCAGCAAGTCGGAGAACAAACGATAAGATAAGCATCTACACTCGGAGTTGCGCGGCGGATTCCTCGAGTCGGCGCTGGGGCCTCCTGACGGCGCCTCTGGCGCCGACCGTGGCGCGCTCCGCGCGCCAGGGAGGGGGGCCCAGCGCAGGTCCGGCAAATCCGGGCGGAGCTCCGAAACTTCCTGCTTCTCCCTCTATTGCCCTGGCAGGGCACCCTGACAGCAGCAAATCGGCGGCGAAGTCCGAACCCTACCCTCGCCGATCAACGATTCGGGCAACTCGCTGGGCGGCTGAGGTAGGGCTCGGAATTCGTCGATCACGTGGCGACATTCCAGCCCTGCTTCCGCCTTCCATCGATTCAGGAGATTCGACTGTTGGTGGGGCAGGGCTCGGACGTCGCCACCTAGCAAAGGCGACGGCCATGGGCACCGTAAGTGTATCCTTGTACCAGGGATCGTGGCCGTCTTGAGCAACAGGGTGACCGGCACTGAGGCGAGAGCACGGCCACGTGTCCTCGAGTTCGTATGTGTTGCACAGCGTATCTTGGCCGTCCAGAGCAAGACCGTAGTCGGCATGGAGGCGAGAGCACGACCATGTGTATATATTAGCGCATTATTCTGCCATGGATCGTGGCCGGTCGGACCAAACATGTAGCCGACATGACGCGAGAGCACGATGTTTGAATAGATGGTGGCGGAGGTTCAGGCGAAACGGTTGCCGGACCGGCTGCTTGTCCGGACGGGCTAGGGTTCCCATGGTCTTGTTTGGTCTTGTTTTGCGGTCTTGTTTGGTTTTTGTTTGACAGTTTGGTCCGGACGGTCTAGGGTTCCCCTTCGGGGACTCCTATGGTCTCGTTGTACCACTGTAGGAGCCTTCTAGCGAAATGCAATTCGGGACAAAAGGTCTGGAGGTACACGGATCCTGAGGTTTCTTGCCGTTTTCGGGCTCCCGGGGTCGTCCCAGGAGGAGGAGTTGCCGTTGTCTGCTTTCGCCCTGCTCCGAAAGGCAGGTTCTGAGGGAAGCGGGTCCCTAGGTTTGTCGCCGTTTGGATATTTGAAGGCGTCCGGCGGCGGCGTTCCGAGCTGCGTTTTTCAAAGGAGGGCCGCTTGAGACAAAGGCCCTTGCGGCCATTGCGGAACGGAGAGGAGGAGGAGGAGGAGGAAGAGGAGGAGGAGGAGGAGGAAAAGGAGGAGGAGGAGGCAGACGAGAATATTGGAGGAGGGCCGCCGATATCTCAAACGGCCCTCCGCTAAATACTCAGCTTCGCCGACGTCAATCAAATTACAGTCAGTCGGTGCTGGTCCGAGCAAGAGGCGAATCGCGTTTTCCAAATAAAGCCCGCGTGGGTTTCCCTGCTCCGCGTTGTCTTGTCTGGGCACCGTGGCTTCAAGAAGGGGAGGAGGATGAGACCACAGAGCTCCCTCAAGCTGAGATCCAATGCTTTGTCGACCTGTTGTTGCATGTCCCACTTCGTACCGCGATGGCTTAGACTATGCCTCAGCTGTCATGAAGCGCGCGTGCTTACACATACATGCACACACGGAGCAATACATGCGACATGATGTCATCGAAAACATCATTAGCATGGCGAGGCAGACACGTTAGATGCCAACACAGAAGTCTTGAGTAATCTGCTCAAAACGACTTTCCCTCCAGCACGCGTGGGTCATAATTAAGTCCAGTGCCAAGTTCACTTGATAGGGTGCACTATCCGAGGCAGGCCCATCCGCTTTTTATAATATGGATGACGAGGGCTGCTTGCTGCACGAGGCCTGAGCAGCCTAAAGCGTGACAGGCCAGGTTCCGTCCAGGTGGTCGCGCTGCCAGATGAATCCCAAGCCCATCCAGAAACTATGTCCAGGCGAGTTGCCCTGACCAGGGATGTGGAGGAGTATGCAGTGGCATAAGGGGTTGGGGAAGCCGTCATACCCTAAGAGGGGGATGATAGAGGAGGAATTGGAGGAGGAGAAGGGGGAGGGGGAAGGGGGGAGTAAAGACGAAGGAGGGACGAGGAGGCATAGGCGGATGAGGAAGAGGGACGAGGAGGAGTTGGCGGATGAGGAAGAGGACGATGAGGAGGAGGAGGAGGAGGGCGAGCAGAAAGGCCAGGGGCCTCTTGAATGCCTCTGAGGGTCTCTTCGGATGTGTCTTGAGAGCTTCTTGGAGCCCGCTTGGGGCGTCTTGGGTGCCTCTTAGCCCCGGGGACCTCTTGGAGCGTCTTGGGTGCCTTGGGGGAGCCTTTTGTTGCCTCTTTGGAGGTTCTTGGGGGGCCTTTTCGGGGCCTTTTGGGGGTCGTATGGCGCCTCCTGGGCGCCTCTTTGGGCGCCTCTTGGGGCCCCCTTGGGGGCCATCTTGGGGCCATCTTGGAGGAGATCGATCAAGGGAGGCTCTAGTCGATCGCGACCCCCCCCCGTCCAGGTCCAGGGGTAGGGGGTAGGACAAGCTAGGCGCGCTCGCGTCATATCTGACATCCTACCCCTCCCTCCCATCCCTTACCATGGCGTAGATCTCCTCTCTATTCGCACAGTCGGATGTCGAGCAGGGCAATGATTCCGAGAGGGTGCGCGATGAATCGTAGAGCACGGGATAGCAGGGCGTAGAAGAGCACGGCAGAGCGTAGTATGTCATGGCATGGCGTGGCGTTGCGTAGTGACGAATCGCACCACAAAGTATTGCAACGCAAATAATGGCATCGCACAGCGGCACAGAACAGAACATGGCATAGCATGGTAATGAAGATCAAAGCGCAGCATGGCATAACACGGCGTGGCACAGCGTAGTCAAGCATTGTGTATCCTCGCATTGCAGTTGAAGGCATGACATCGCACAGCGGATAGCATTGCATTGCATTCCGTAGCATGGCATTGGAAATAATGACGCCAGCGTTGCTTCGAGAGCACGACTCGAAAGCGCTGCAGCGGGAGCACGGTTCGGAACGAGCAGAAGCGCGGAAATGAGGCCAGCGCTGCAGCGGGAGCACGATTCGAAACGAGCGAAAGCCCGAAAATGAGGCGAGCGCTTTGGCGGGAGCAACATGTTGAAAAAAACAGCGAACACCGCGTCGCACTTCTCCCCCGGGAGCGCCGCCGAGCAAGAGCTCCCCGAGATGCCCTGAGGTGACCCCACTGCCCCCTCAGAGGCATAAGAGGGCCACACGGGGACCCACTGCGGGCCCCGATCGCCTGAAGGCAGCTTGAACAGGGCCGCCGATCGGGAGGCTCACGGCGACGGCGGACGAGGAGCAGGAAGAGGCGATGAAGGGCAAGAGGACTCCGCTTCGCCCCGACACCAACCCAGGCTGGAGTCCATTGCGTTGTTTGGCCGCACTGGGTTGCGCACATGGTTCTGGAACTTCTGCCGCATGAGCCCCTCTCTCATTGGGATTCGTCGCGGAACGACCTACCGTGCCATCGCTAGCGGGAGAGGAGGTGGGAAGGAGGCGGAGGATGAGGAGTAGGGGAAGGCCGAGCGTGAGGGGGAGGCAGGCTTGTTCCCGCGGCGTCTCCTGCCTCATCTCCTGCCTCCATTTCCTGTGAGCCTGTCTCCCCTCCTGGGTCCCCGACCCCTGCTTCACACCCTTTCCCTTGGTGCAGACCAGGTGGACTCAATGCTGGTTTGTGCTGTTGAGACAAGTAAAGGTTGTAGCTTGCTTTCCATCCGCGGCTCTCTCCATCATCCATCCGTCCCCTCCCTCTCCTTCCCTCCCTCCCTCTCCCTCTCCTCCCATCTTCTCGACTCGTCCCGACCCCCAGGGTCACCAGAGCTATGACGGCCTGTGATTTCACGCGCGTGGGCAGGCGAGAGGCTCTGCGACGCTGGCGCCTGTTTTCTTGCAGAGCGAGCTAGCGCGGCTGAGCCACACCGTTGTTGCCAAGCGATCTTGCTTGTAATCCATCACCAGCCTCTCCTTCCCCTGTCCCTCCCCCCTGCCCCTCCCTCTTGCGATCCTTCCCTCCGCTTCTCGCTCCTTCCCTCCTTCGCCCTCCATCGCTCCCCGCCTAACTCCTTCCTCTCCTCTGCTCCACTCTTCCCCCCTCCGTCCCCTCCTCCGTTCTCTGCCTGCGTCCCCGATCGGTTCGCTGCGAGGTGCCGTGCCTCGGGGATCCACAGCACCGGGGCGTGCTGCCGATGCGGCACAGCCCGCACCGGTACAACTGCGCCGTGGACAGCCTGTCCAGCCCCGAGACCTACGTGCTGCAGCACCCAGGAGAGACGCGTGGAATGCCCATCGCAGTCGCCCGGCGGGAGAGAGGTGGATGGGGGACGGGGAGGTGGACAGAGCGGGAGGAGACGCAGGAAGTAGGGGACGGAGGGAGAGGGATGATGATGATGATGATGATGATGATGATGATGATGATGATGATGATGACGACTATGATGATGACGAGGATGATCATGATGATAATGATGACGATGACAATGATGATGATGCTGATGATGGTGATGACGATGATGATTGATCATGGTAATGATCATGATGATGATGCTGATGATGATGATGGTGGTGGTGATGATGCTGATGCTGATTATGATACTGATAATGAGGGTGAGGATGAGGATGAGGATCATGATGATGATGCTGATGATGATGATGATGACGATGATGATGACGATGATAGTGGTGGTGATGGTAATGATGATGATGGTGGTGGTGATGGTGATGGTGATGATGCTGATGCTGATCATGATGATGGTGATGATGATGGTGATGGTGTTGGTGGTGATGATGCTGTGTATGATGATGCTGAGGATGGTGCTGGTGCTGATGCTGCTGCTGATGCTGCTGCTGATGATGATTTTGATGATGCTGATGGTGTTGATTATGATAGTGATGGTTATGATGATGCTGATGCTGATTATGATGATGATGATGCTGATGATGATAATGATGATGCTGATGGTGATTATGATGGTGATGATGATGATGATGATTATGATGATGATGAGAATGATGATGATGATGATGATGATGATGATGATGATGATGATGGTGACGATGCTACTGCTCATAATGATGATGATGATGATGATGATGATGATGATGATGATGATGATGATGATGATGATGATGATGATGATGATTATGATGATGATGATGATGATGATGATGAGGAGGAGGAGGAGGAGGAGGAGGAGAGAAGAGAGAAGAAGGATGAGGAAGAGGAGGAGAAGGAGGAGGGAGCAGGGAGGAGGGAGTAGGGAGGAGAGGGCGAGGGGAAAAATCAGCTGGAGAGGGTCAAGCGGGTGGTGGCGGTGGTGGCAGGCCTCGAGGTCGGGTCTGAAAGCAAGATCAAAATATTCCATCTTGAGGGTGAAGCAGGACGAAGAACAGGAGCAGAAGGAGGAGGAGGAGCATGAGGAGGAGGAGGAGAAGGAAGAGGACGAGGTGAAGCAGGAGGAGGAAAAGGAGGAGGAGGAAGAGCAAGCAGGACGAGGAGGAGAAGGAGGAGAAAGATGCTGAGAAGCACCCGTGAGGAGCGGCGCATGCAGCTTACCTCATCACCTTCGCCCCAGAGGGCAGCCCCGCGGAACCCGCCGGCCCGTGAGGGAGCCAGCCACCGCTTGTGCCCTCGCCCAGTCGCTGGCCACCCGGGGGCCAGGGGGGGTGCAGAGGAAGCAAGATTGGTCGCACGAGACGCCGTCTGTCGACAGATCGAGAGGTTGTCATCTCGTCCTACAGGGAAGAGGTGGCGATGTCGCTACCGCCACCCTTGACCCGCTGTTTCGCCTCGGGATCCAGGTCAGAATGCACTTGTGTACCTTATTGCTCCCCTGTTCTCGCGCTCGGCTGGAGCTGGCGAAAGCAACATTGTTGCTGGCTCCGCCGCCAGAAGGCCAGCGCCACGCCAGGGTGCCCAAGGTTACCGAGGCCCGTCAAGCGATTATACCTTTCAGCCCCCAGGCCAACAGAGCATAACCAGGAGGGCAAGGGATCAACGCGTTCAGGTTGTCGATTCCGGGCGTGACCCGAACTTTTTAATCGCGCGGTGGGTTGGGTGATTCAATAAGTCATAATTTGGGCTGGCCGCACCTATTTGTAGGCCGTGTTTTTATGCCGCCAAGTGCGCAACCCACTGCGTAACCGATGCAAGACCCTTCGATTGTCGGTAGTCGAGTGCGCAGCCTGGGCGCAGCCAATAGCAGGGTTTGGATGTTCGACGGACAAGTGTGCAACCTATAGCGCAGCCAGTACAAGTAACTGTAGCGTTAGAGTGCGAGATCCAGGACAGAACAAACACCATGCCGCTTTATGTTCGTAAGCCGAGTGCGCAAAAAATAGCGGGACCAATACAAAAGCTTTTTGTGTGCCAGGCGGCCAAGTGCGTAACCAATGGCGTGGCCAACAGCACGCCGATGCATGCTCGCTGTTTGGGCTCGCTGTGTGGCCCATGGGGCGAGCTGTTCTATGATTGTTTGAACATTCCTTTGCCGTTTTGTTTTCTCCACAGCTTGTCTATCAAGGTTTCACACGATGACTCTGAATGCCTCGTGGGGGAGTCCGGGCCCCCGAAATCGGCGGCGCATCGTGGTCCCCCAGTGTGGCCCCCGTGGGGAGTCATGGAGCGTCACGGCCAGAGCCCCAGACCCCGTCGTTTTTCTGCATTCCTCGAGCTGGATCGTTCCGTGATGGCCCCGCGGGACTTGAAATCGGACGGACACGCCCAGTGTGCATCCAGACGTGTGTGTGTGTGTGTGTGTGTGTCTGTGCGTGTCTGCGTGTGTCGGCGCGTGTGCTTTTGTGTTTGTGTGAGTTGTGTGTGTGTTGTGTGTGTATTTGTGTGTGTGTGTGTGTTTGTGTGTGTGTGTCTGTGTCTATGTGTCTATGTGTCTATGTGTCTATGTGTCTATGTGTCTGCGTGTGCCTGCGTGTGTCTGTGTGTGTGTGTGTCTGTGTGTGTCTGTGTGTGTGTCTGTGTGTGTCTGTGTGTGTGCGTATGTGTATGTGTGTATGTGTGTATGTGTGTATGTGTGTGTTGTGTGTGTTGTGTGTGTTGTGTGTTGTGTGTGTTGTGTGTGTGTGTCTGTCTGTGTGTGTGTGTCTGTGTGTGTGTCTGTGTCTGTGTCTGTGTCTGTGTCTGTGTCTGTGTCTGTGTCTGTGTCTGTGTCTGTGTCCGTGTCCGTGTCTGTGTCTGTGTCTGTGTCTGTGTCTGTGTCTGTGTCTGTGTGTGCACGTGTGTTTGTTTCCAGCTTCCTGGTAGCGTCTGGCTGCTCCTGGGGCTCCCTGGCCCTCAGGCTGGCCAATCCTACGGGCCTCAGGCGCCGCGGCGCTCAGGAGCAGCGCGCGGTGCACTTTCTCGCCGCCCTCGTGACCGAGCGGCCGACTGTGAATGAGGGAGGGAGGAAGGGAGGGAGGGAGGAACGGAGGGAGGGAGGAGGGGGAGGAAGGGGAGGAGGAGGAGGAGGAGGAGGAGGAGGAGGAGGAGGAGGAGGGGAGGAGGAGGAGGAGGAGAGAGGTGAACGAGGAGGAGGAGGAGGAGGAAGAGGTGGGCAAGGAGGAGGAGGAGGAGGAAGAGGTGGAGGAGGAAGAGGAGGAGGAGGAGGACGCCGTCGACGAGGAGGTAACGAAGGAGGAGGAGGAGGAGGAGGAGGAGGAGGAGGAGGAGGAGGAGGGGGAGGAGGTGAAGGAGGAGAAGGCGGAGAAGGCGGAGGGGGACGAGCAGAACGATGAGGACGACGACGAGGAGGACGAGAGGAGGAAGAGGAGGACTGGCATACGCTGGCAGCAGAAGACCGCCAGCTTGCCGCAAGTTGCGCCATCACGGTGATCACGCCGCCCGGTTTGCAAACGGCCGCGCGGGGTACGCCCACATACAGACGGTTGTGGCATTGGTTGGTTGCGGTGCGTCCAGTGCTTGAGCAGAGGACCAGCAAAAAATCGCATTCTCCTGCGCTGGCTGGTGCAGGGCCCCGCGTTTCCTTCCAGCCAGACGGTTGCGGTGGGCCTCCTCCCTCATCTGCCAGGCCTGAATGCACATCGCGATCTCCACCGGGGCCTGATGGCCTACCAGGGCGCTCTATTGCCAACGTGCGTCACTTGGTTTCCCTTCCGCGTCAAGACTGCCACGCACCTTCAGGAATCTGTGCCCTTGAGAGCAGGCGCCCAACTTCGAC